TCTTGTACTGCTCCCTCCCCTCCCCCTTATACTCCCTCCATCCTTATCTTACACAGTATCCCCTCAGGAAAGTAAAACAAGGGTCACATGAATATTTGAAGAGGTCCGTGCCGAGTCAGCTCTCCGTTCCTTGATTCAGATTCATAAAAAATCTGATAATTGATAAAGTTTGCAGTAAATCACTGCCACTTCTCTTGATTTATTAAGGCATTAATTTAAGAGAAAGATTTGGTTTATTTTTTTCCTTCACTCGTTTGTAGAAATCTTTCACTTTTACTTCAGTGCTTGATGACAACTCTAGTTAAGTGTTTAGGTTTTTTTGCACTGGAAAGCAACTGTTGGTTTTATAATAAAGCTGCAGCTTGTTTTCAATCATCCACTTTGTCGGGGGGGTGCTTGAGCTTTAGCAGAGACCCTGATCTCATTCAGCTCGGCTGATAAAAAAAATACAATCTTTCCCATCTTAAAAGCTTCTCTGATAAACCAAATGTCAGCAGCACTGCCGTATCTTGATTGTTTGACTGCTCTCAGTGTCGGCGGCTGCTGCCAACTGAAAAGAGCCAGTCACGCAAAGGGGCTCGGCTGAAAACAGAACCATGTGTGGGGTTGTAGTTAGCGAGCGGTAATGCCAAAGAAACACTTCCTTCTCTTTAAATGTCTCTGTAAAGAGTCTGGCGAACGTAGAAAATTACCTCATCTTATGTTTTTGCACTTGTTGCCGAAGCTTTCCTCACATCTAAAACTTGGACGGTCTGTGTGCAGCTGCTTGTTGGCCTTTTTCTTTTTTTAAACCAAAGGATGTGTAGTTAAAGGAAAATACCCTCAAAATGAAAAGTGAGGCCAGTAGAGGAGCAGGAAAGATGGTCTTGTTTGTTTCTAATTAGTTAGAACTACAACAATTACCCTTGATCTGGATTAAAATGTCTTTCCTTTCCAAAAAAATAAACATACTTTTTCTTGAATCATATTTATGACATCTTTTTTTGCTCTCTTCTTACTCTTGTTGGTTTAATCGTTAAATTTGTCGGGTCTCATTACTGAATCATCAGACTTATTGATTTAAGAATGCTATTTGCTTATATATGATGGTTTTAAGTTTTCGTAGTAGTGTTAGAATAAAATATAATATTGGCCTTACTCTGGCTGCTCAGGATTTGAGAAATTCCTCTCAGAAGAAACAGTTTTTGCTGCAGAATTCATCACAGTTTGTTTTGTTGTGGGAGTCTTTAAAACACAAATCAGGTCAGCTGCTTGCAGCAATAATTCATGTCGTATAAGCGCCCTTTTAATTTGATTGGCTGCTGTAATTCAAGTCTGGAAATAGATGTATGTACCAAAAAAAAAAACAAGCAAACAGTGCAACTGAAGCGGCCTCATTTCTGGTTGCTTGAATTAAAAGCAAATGGATAAATGCCCCTGTGGCTGAAATGCTACAAGCATTAAAGAGGCTGTTTTTAGTAGGATGCTGCATTATGAGGAAAAAAGGAAACGGATTCTGCTAAACCCACACAGCACTGCTTCTCTGGCTGGGAAACGAATCAGGGTTGTTTTCAAAGTCTGCAGAAGCATGAAGAGACAAGTTTTTGAGATTATTTGTGTTTAACATTCCCTAAAAAATATATGATAATCTTTAATCACTAAACATCCCAGAGTAACTGCATATACTCATGTTATTCTAATTTCTTCATCCCCCATAGGAAAAAAAAAGTATCTCAAATAAAGCTAAAAATACATACATTTTTGGGGGAGTTTTTTTAATATCATTTACTCAAGTAATCAACATTGTATATTGGATCTTAATAGCGATAAACAATGTGATAAATGCCCACCCATATCCATAAGTTGCTTAAAATAGGAGAAAAGGATAAGATATCTAGAATTCCTAAAACTGGGCTTTTTAAAGCTGCATACATTTCAAAATTTTATCTCATTACATTAAGAGCTACACTATAGTTCAAATCACAGTTTGCAATGCTAAACCATAACCTCTCAAAACCCACTGGGTTGTCGGCAACCCGTTTTATAGCGTTTACAAATAATAACTCAGAATGCAAGAAAATTACGCTGGTAAAACGCTTACCAATATAGACATGTTAAACATCCTTGGAAAGCTAAGACACAGCGAGCACCAAAGCACAATTAACACAGATATAGCAGCATGTCACAATGTACCATGACAAAGCAGCCACAACAAGCAAGCATGTCTTTATAATTGCTGTTCAAAAAAAATGACCTATCATTTTTGAGAATAAAAAAAAATAACATTGAGTCTTGTTTGAACTGATGCAGCTTGGATGTTGCCCAATTTTCACGTATGTATTCAGGAACTAAAAGGTTTTAGCTTTCAAATAACGTATCACACGTGTAATATGGGCTTACAGGTCCTAGTTATTTGCTTTTCCATTTGGGTATGCAAAATAGGCAAGAATGTCACAAAATGAGGTGGATATTAAGAGGCTAAAGAACTGCTTGGATGTAAAGTGGTAGTTTGTTTTTTTCATATGAGCTGCATTAGCACCCCTGACCTCTGCATGTACAGTATATCCTATATTTGGCCGATTAGAAACATTCACAATGACATTTATGCCCACAACTGACAGATCTAGGTGTTCAGAATGCTTACATGAAATCATGATGACTGAAAATTAAGAACAGTGAGGGAAAAATGAGGTTATGTTGATCATCATGATCATCATTGTGCAGGCCTAGTGTTAAGGAAGGTCATTTGTTCACTAAACAAATTAATGTAACTTATTGTTTATTTTTATAATGGTTTTCTCTCCTTGATCATTCCTTGGATACAATAGCTGTTGACATGGTTACTGTGTCTGGACATGATATTTGATGGTGTCCACAGGTTGTGGCGCTTGGTTTTCGGTTTCATTGACTGTGACAATGAGCCGCCAACCAACTAGAACGCTCTCCTGTTTCAGGGAACAGGTGGTGTCGCTGTGTTTTCTCTTAAGATGTTCATCATACTCTCGGCCTCAGTAATGCCTTAATCTAGGCCAAACATGCCTGGTCGCTTGACTTTCATTCAGCTAAATTATCACCTTATTTAATTTATTGATAAGAGCTTAGTTTGCAATAATTTACTCTAATATTTTTTTTTTTTTTGAATCAATTGTGTTGGCTTTAAATTTAACGTTTGAATAACTACTGTATGTTTTTACCCTCATAATATAGTAATATACGGCAAAGATTGTGTTGCTGTGTGACAGAAGCATCCTCAGCTTCTAGTGATTTTTATCTGTAATTGTCAGGGCCATCATTGCATTTATTATCCTTTCTGCAATCATCATTGTTATTCATGGCCTTCCGGTAATCCAAATGGTCTGTTTTTATCATCCGTTTCGCTATGTTTAGATGTTCTAACTGAGACTACTGATGAATGTAGAAATGTTTGCGGCTGTTGGGGCGTGTTCTAGATGAGCTGACATTTTGGGGTCATGTCCAACGCTTTGACCTCAGACTTCAGCAATCTATTCCAGTAAACATGAGTCTCGCCCTCTTTATTTGTTTTTAGGCTTTCAGAATGTGTTGTTTGCTGCTGCATAAACTGACACAATCATTAGAAAGCATGTGTGTTTCTGTAACATCCAGCCGCAGTAAAAACGGCTCATCGTGAACAATTTAAAGAGCAAACTGAGACGTCACAATGAACCAAAGTATCATTTTCTCTCTACTGTTTTGGTTCAAACAGGTTAGCAGATGTTGCTTTTCTCACTTATCTGGTTTTCATTGCATTGAAGGTCAATCACATTATTATGTACTATGTGTTTATACTGTGTGTTTGTGTATGCTCAGCTGTTTGCTGCTTTCAAACGCTTGGCTCAGCAGCAAAGCGTTTGATTAAAAACCCTGGAAGTTTCCCAAGTCCTTCTAGGCGGGTTCTGGTAAAGTGGCATGCTGACTTGATTAAGGTACCTATGTAGGTTTTAATCAAATTAGGAGTTTTCTTTAGGGCAAAGCCAGCCACTGTCTGCCTCTATGCAACTAGCCGCTAAGTTAAAGATGAAACTCTGGAAGTTTTCCTTTGTTCTTAGATTTTTATAGATTACCTGCCCGCTCCTCTTAGTATTAAAATAGCCTTTATCCTCAGTCCATCTCTTAGCTTTTAGGCCTTAGCTTCTGTAGGGGTCCTGTAAACTACAGAAAGCATCAGTGTTTACTTTTTAATGAAAACTCCATGCAGAGATGATAATGGTGTCACGATTCACTCTTTGCAGTAATATACATAGTTTATTTATCTCTTGCATAAACAAATCAGCACATTATCCCAGTGTATTTCTTAGGATCAGAGAGGCAAGCTGTTTTAGATAGATGATACTGTAAAAAGGCCTATAATGTATTTCTATCAATTATTTATTATCTATTTCCTCTCTTGAAGCTATTTTTAACATGTCCATATCTGAGCAACGCAAATGAGCCTCTTTCAAAATGAAATTATGTCTGATATATAGAATCATGTAATGCAGAAAGCCAAGGCTTTTGCTTTCCATTTAAATTTGAAAGGTTTTGCCTAGCTTTAAATTGCAATTTGAAGGCTGCCTTTTCTAATGTCATTTTTAAGTTTTTATTGGTTTGTTAATCCTTGTGACTTGTTGTCTTTTCTTTCAAATAGGATATTAAATGTTTTTTCTAGGATCTGGCTTTGTAAATCATTAGACTTCCATTTTATACTTTGATTTTTTTTTATTTTACTTGTTTCATTATTTATTTTTTGCATATGCTTGTTGAACTGTCATTGACTTTGCAATTAATAGAGATTTGACAATAATCCTGTTCCGTTGAGTATGGCCAAAAGCAATGTACAATTAATTATTTCTTTTTCTACTTTTCCCTGCTAGGGAACATACCTTCTATGGATATAGTTTGGTCAGTTTCTACCTCCACATCAGAAAGAAGCTGCATTACTCTGATATTACTCCAGCGCTCCAGAGTTTAGTTTCTTTTTACGTGTGTCTCTAAACTAAAACATGATCTGTTTTCCTTCTCAGATGAGCCCTTGCCGGACTCACACTCCTCCCCTGTTGACGTTTTTGGAGGTGTTCCAAGGACAACAGAATCATCACCAGCAGCCTTACCACACTCTCATTATACTGCCTTTAATGTCCCAGCCTCACCTGGTGCCCTGTTCTCCTCTCCTGAACCGGTTCCCAAAGCAAGGACTGTTGACAGAAAGCTTTTTAAATCAGCACCCCATGCATATGAAAACATTCAATCCACAATGCCAAGAAAGGCCTATGTAGGAGAGACAAATGTCCAGAATAGTACATCAGCAAGCTCTAATGGACCTATCCAACGGTTTGAGGCATCAGCTACTAGCTCCTCTAAAGGGAGGGGGGTAAGGACTAATTCTGACCAGCAAGAATATAATTTTTCCCTTTATTCTTTGAGAACTGAGCATCTATTCCAGTCAACCTCAAGTCCTTCTGCTTTGACAAAACCCACACCTCATCCAGACCTTGCCTACCCAGAAGAACCAACTCCAAGCATGGTACAGAGTGGTCCGTCAAAACAAATGCAGTTTATTACGACCTCATCAGCTGACCTGCCTCTAGAATCTCCCAAATTGTTTAAAGCTTTGAGGAACGAGTCCGATAGCAAAAAGGTTGTTTCAAGCAGCGTGAACGCCAGCAATGTTCCATTGGTGCAGACCAAACTTGAACAGAACCTAAACACACTACCGAACGTCGATGAGATTATGGCTCCTGGTTACCACGTGCCTTTCATCACCCCCCAGTCCTCGAGAATTTTAGCTGAAGCTAACGATTTGCCTCCAGATTACTCCTACCCTACCAACATGGAAGAACACTGGGGTTCTGGGGATTACTTGGAAACCATGTCCTACTTCAACGCAGATAAAGACGTTTATTCTCCAGTCACTAAGGTGATCTCTGACCCCTATGATATGGAGGTAAACACAGAGATCTATGATACATCCTTTCCTTCCAGAGTGGGCTTATCACCTTCATCCATGCACCCTGTTTACGTTTCACCTTCCCCCAGCCTCATAACTGCATACCTCCCCATTGTTCCACATCCATCGATTCATCAATCCAGACTTTCTACACAGACTCCCTCTTTACAGAACCCTACTCCCGCACCTAGCACCGACGTCCCTAACATATCTGAAGCAGACTGGGGAGATGTCTTCACTATTCGGCCAACAGATGTGCTCTTACCGGACATGAACAGCTTGGAGTATTACACCACTCAGCTGTCAAAGGACAGTGGTGTTTCAGAAACAGGAGCAGAGTACAGCGAGAACACCACTGAAGTGTCCATCAATGCTACAATGGTCCCACCCAACACCGAGTTCACCACCGATCATCAAATAGAGGCCTCCAGCGATCTGTCAGGGTTTGGGCCTCAATATGAGTCCCCTACAGCAGTAACCACAGAAAACACTCAGCTGATAAATTCCTCTGAGCCTATTCTGGATCCCTCCATTGTCTCACCCTACGTCTTTGATTCCTCTTCCTCTGTGTGGGGTGGTCTGGTTTCCACCACAGGCTGGTCCACACTTTCACCAACTGTAGACATGGATACTGCATTAGAAGAGCCTTTACAGCCAAGTGTGACTCCTTTACTACCAGAGGACCTATTGTCTTCTTCATCATCTCTGACTGATGTCCATTGGTTTGTTACTGAATCCTTTGACAGTCCTACACTCAGACCTCCTGTAATAACTCCAACAATAGCCTTCTCTCCAGTTCCTACTGAAAACGGCACTGCTGTCACAACTGAACTAATGTCCCCCGACTTATTTACCACTGAACAAACTGACAATATGACTCTAGCTTCAACTGAACCCTCATCTCACAATGCTACCCTGGTTCCTCCAGTTATGTTTGGTGATCAGAGCGTGACTGAAGATGGACCCGACAAGCCATCCACCATGACCTCAATCCCAACAAACAGTCAGTTTATCACTATTCCTGCAATGAACACAAGTCCGGGTGCCACAAACACTCCACATCAAGCGACAGCCGCAACTTCTGCTGCCACTGAGACCTCAACCAGTGTCAGCATCATCGCTACTACCAGCAAAGAAGCCGCAGCTGCATCAACAACGAGACGGTACCTCTGCAAAGTTGACAGCCCCAATTATCTAACAAGGACGGGTATCCTGGATTTCTTTATCTTGTCAATAGTAGATAAATATTCATATTGATGAGATTATAACCATAACATTTTTCTTATAAAGGTTTTCCTTCTGGGGTAACTGTTGGTTTTGCCAAATCTCAAGTCAGAGACATTTTAAAAGTGGAATTTAACAAGTCCGTGGAGCTGCAGGTAAGATCATTTTTCTCTCAATATTTCATTTTAAAGTGGAAACATGGTTCAGTATAATGACATGAGTATTATCGTGCTTTAGAGTGTTATATTCATTTAAAGTTTTTTAAATAATTTATAGCATTTTCTTTTAAAAAGCATGTTTTCTTGTGATTTAGCCATTCATCCATTCAAAATATCAGACAGGGAAACTATCCATGCAAACATTGACTATTAAAAATAGTACTTTAACTGAAATAAACTTAAAATAAAATAAGGTGTCATTATTTTATGGTTTAGTTCTCTGATAAATCACATTTTACAAATGATGATCTTTTTCAAGTTTTTTCCAGTTCAGGATGGCGGAACCAAAAGCCATTAGCAAATATTCAGTTCAGTTTATTTATGTAGCTCCAATTCACAGGATGCAAATGAAGGTACCTTAGAGAGAGTGTCTAATCTTTTTTTGAAGATAAAACATTTAAGTTGGACAAAAAACAAAAGCTGAAGTAATCTGTAGAAATGTTATACTTCTTATTTGGTATTTACTGTCTAGGTTGTTAGCCTGCCGCCACAGCTTGTCTTCCGGGTGGTGTCGGGTCCAGTAGTGTACACAGCCATATCTGTCATCAATGCTCTGAGACGGTCCGGTCGACGCTTCCTGTATGTGTCCCCTAACCTAACAACACCAGACCGGAAGTACCAAATCCACACAGGTACACTTACGCTTCTAATGTTGCTAAAAACATTCACTGTGAATGCACATTAAACCCTCCCTGAGTTTCTCCATCCTGTTCTGTGTGCAGTGCTGCAGTTTGTCCCTGGTCACATAGACGTAAGATACTGCAGCTTCTTCGAGAGCGTTGAGAAAGGTTTGACTATGGCTTTTGCAGAAGTGCGCCGTCGGTCAAAGGAGTCAACAAACTTCACGGTGCATGTGAGTTGTTTGACTTTACATCTAAAATCTGCATAACCTGGTTCACAACTTTATAAAGGCCTAGGAATTTAGTTTTTTCTCTTGCTCTATATGTTTTTGGCAGCAATTAAATATATTCAGGAGACATATTGGAATTAGTTCTTTGCAAAGTGGGCTTAAAAATGGTAAAGCGGACAATGTTGAAAAGGCAACAAGTCAAATTGAAGACGTTTTGTAATCCTATGAACATAAATAAAGGAGTGTAGATTTCTAGCTCTTTAAATCCAAACTACTGTTCTGCTTCTTAGTTTGTTCTTCTTAAGTCCACTCTATCAGAATAGGAACGTTTCTGCAGCTCTTTGTAAATAGCTCTTTATCGTTGAACTGACAGACGCATCTTTTGGCTCTTTTCAGATTCTCAACATCACAACATCTGCAAACAAGTATGCAGAACAGCAGCTGGTGAGGCAGCCAGTGGACATTACCTTTACTGTCAGTGGTTCAAGGAGTTATCTGATGGGGTCGAAGGTCAGCAATGCTCTGATGAAACTCACAATGGTAGAATTTAGCTACTACATCGGTTTCCCAGTGCTGCAGATTGCAGAGCGTGAGTACCATAAGATTGGATGTCTGGAAAATCCAGCTGTCTCCTTCAGGATCGCCAATGTTATTCTAATGGGTTTTTTCTGTCCTGAAGCTTTCCACTATCCGGAGCTCAACACCAGCCACTTGCTTCGCTCCTCCTGGGTTAGAACAGGTAACATGGTTCCAGTTTCTGGCCCTGCTTGTAAATAGAGAGCTATGATGATTTAAATTACTTTTAATTTCTCTTTCTTAGTACTTCTTGGCGTTGTTGACAAGAAGATGAATGAAAGGACCTTTCAAGCTAACATGGAGCGTAGAGTGGCCCTGTTGCTCGGGGAAGCCATGGGACAAGTGAGGCGGGTCAAAAGAGCAACCACAGTTGGTAACAGTAGCATACAGGTAAAAAGAAAAGATACCAATATCAGAACTTTGAGCTTAAACTGTTAACTGAGCTGTTGCAAAACGATTTTTAGCAAAACTAAGGATCCTGACTCAGTATTTAAACTTCCAAACTTATAGCAAGTCACCTAAAAATCCTCTGAAAGTGTAATAAGCTTTAAAAGAAGTTTTCTCTCTCCTAATGTGAAAGGAGAACCCCAGGATTTCAAGTCGTTTCAGATTTAAAAGAAGTATGTAACAAATTGCGTTTTACAGATCACATTATCTTCATTTCTGAGGGCGAGTTTGAAATATTAAAAAAATTTGAAACTATAAAGCTTCAGCCTGAAATGAAAATACACCCTAAATGTAGGAGACATCAAACCCGTTAAAATTCCAAGAGCGTTATAGCTGGGTTAATTTGTTTCTAAAGTACAAAATGCTTTAAATCCTAAAGTATAAACTCAATGGCTGAAAAACTAATTCTGATAGTTCAAGTTAACAGAAAACATTAGTCTAGGTTAGTCGCTAAAGCTGTTAAAAAAAACCAAATCTAAAATTTTAGCGCGTGCTCTCCTAAAAATAAAGAAAAATTAAAAATCCCACAATACTTTAGAGTAAATATAGAAGTACCACCGATATCATGGCTATTGGGGCAAAGTCTTATAAGCTGTTATTCTTCTGCTAGATGCTGTGAAAGCCAATGGGGGTGAAAATAGCCCCTGGTTGTTTAATCACATAATGGTTCAGTGCCAAGCTACACAGACTCAAACCAATTGGTTTCACTTATTTAAGTCTGAAACTTAAGTTTTAAATAAAGAGAAATCGCCCAAAATATTTCATATTTATTTTTCTGTTTACCTGGAGCATCATTATAGACGGTGGAGACTCTCTTAGTGCCGGGACCGAGTACAGAGGACTCATTATGTTTGTCTCAGTGTTGGCAACCAGTGAAAACCTTAGTGCTTCACTCATCAAGCTTTAGCTTTTGTGGGTCTCCTCTGCACCTGCTCATCTCATCTCTAAGGGGGAGCAGGATGTTGCTTTATTTCCATGGCAACAACATCCCATTTGCCCAAGAGACAAACCACTTAACAACCTCCACCTAAAGGGGTTCAGATTTCTGTTGCCTCTCCTTCTCGTCTTCGCTCGCCTGCTGCCGAGAGCCACAGACCCGCTAACAGCAGATCAATTATTCATTTGGTCCCAGTCTGTACCCTTCAGTTGGGCTGATTAAGAGTTGTCTATTTTGGTAAAGCAGTGGCTTCAGTGGGGCTGGAATTAAAGATGAGATGAAAATGTGAGAGATGAAAGAAACTGAGGGCGAATGAGTGTTAAAGCAAGATAAAAGGGACTTGTTATGAGGGATATGGGATACATATTTTATCTGACTCTATGAAATTTAAGTGTATAATGTGGATGTTAAACCAGGTGCCTGTTAGAGTACTAATATCAAACTCAGCCTTACTGTTTCTGATCAATCTGCATCAGAAATTATACCAGTTCCCCTACCAAATCAATTTTAAATTAATATTAAAACAAGGTTTTAGATCATAAAAGCATTTTTTTTGTGTAGCCTAAAATATTTGTATTGTTATTTTAAACTTATTTTAGTATTTACATCTTTAAAACAGCTAATCCTTGATAGTTGAATGACTTAAACGTACATACCTGCTGATTCACATTCTGTATATTCGAACAGAATCTCTGAACTATCATGACGGTATGATTAGCTTCACCATCCATGAAAATACCTGATGAGGCTTCTTAAGCAGATAAAAGAGGGGGCTGGGGGGGGTAATACCACATGCATTCATGATGACCTCATTCCACTCTAATAACTCTGCATGGACTACAATTGACTGCATGACGATGTCTGCCCAGTGTTATTTTTTTTTCTCCTAGCCCAGACGTGGCCTGAGCTTTAGGCTTTCCGGTTATACAGACAGCAGCAGAGCCTGAGGGCATCAGGCTGGAAACTAGTCTCTCAAACACACACACGCTTTGAACACTGACTGAGGATGTTGCATTGACTTCCTTTTTATGTTTTTATTTTTATTTATTTTTTTCAACCTTCACCCTAAACTCATTAATGGTACTTAATTTATTTTACCAAAACCTAATTCCTACCTTTGTCCTACGCTTAACATTTAGCCCCCAAAAAAGTGTCAACCAGAAAAAATCATCACTTTACATTTATGTACCCTAAAACAAATTTAACTGAGGGAGGTGAGGTCTGCAAAGCTTTAGATTGCATTCCAGGTTCATCTACCACCTTTTAGAAGTGTCATTTATGAGCTCTTTGGGGGAGTGGGTCCCAGTGGTTCGGAGTTCAAGCCCCACTCCCACGGACTCCCACTCTGGGTCCCTGAGCAGGACCCTTAACCCCACACTGCTTGATGGGCGCCGCACAATGGCAGCCCACTGCTCCCCAAGGGGATGGTTTAAATGCAGAGAGTTCATTTCATTGCTTTGTACTTGTGACAGTGTAATACCAATGTAGTTGAATTTAATTCTGTTCTATTCTCTGTGAGTAATCTGGGTTGGCCAAGCGCCTCTGGAAAGATTTTTGAACGTTCCATGATTTCTCCATTTGTGGATAGTAGTTTTCAGCAACATTGCCTAGAGTCTTAAAGCCATAGAAATAGATTTGTTACTTATGCCAGTCTGATAGATTTCACTTTCTGTTCTTTAATATCCTCCAAACGGGACAAAATGTGTTGTCAGACTTTGTTTAATTGATTTCTTGAATCTTAGCTTCTGGCAGTAACCAGCAATTAATTGCCTCTCTTCCACCATTTTTGTACATGACAAATAAAGTAATTAATCAAGGTTGTATTAAATATCAAAATTAATTTGGTAGACTTTAACATTTAAGTTTGTGCAAAAAACAAAAGCGTAAATAATCTAAATGGATCAAAAACATTCCCACATTTGTTTAATGTGATATTGTCCCATTAATTGTTTTGCACTTTCTGTGGGAGCAGTAAACATATGACAAAAGCCGTAAAGAAAACGTATCAATTTGTTGAAACTTTCCTTTGAAGGCTCAGCATATTATTGTACTATAGCTTGTTACATGGCAGAGCCAAATCTGTTGGGCCCAATTCTTCTTCCTGCTGTCAAACACAAGCTCAACTGCTCCAAGTTTGAACGTTTCACTGTTAATGAGGCGCTGCCTTCTTCATTAGAAGTTTGTTTTTGTTTTTTTTTCCAAGGCAGATGTGACACATTTCTAGTTAAGGTCTTCTTTAGAAATTCCATTCCTAATTTAGAAAGCGGACTTCGTCATCCTCCCCAAATAGTTGGTTCCCTTCTGGAAATGCTTCTCTTTAACTGTTGTTTTTAAAAGCAATAAAATATCTGCAGAGAAACACAACAGATTTAAACCTCCCTGATTACAGTATAGGGTTAGTAATGTAGCTCACTGTGGACTCCACTGAACCTCAGAGCTTTGATATAAAAATACAGGTGGACTGATTAATAAAGACAACTATGACATTATGAGTGCTGATTCTACAATCACAAAAATATTTCACCCAAAATTTAGGATTTATGTATTTTTGTTAAATAACAAACTCCGCTTTAAGTTGATTAGATAATTTTATCACAGTCCTAATTAATAAACTTTACATGATTCATATTCATTAATTTTAGTGTATTTACTTAAATACATATGGTTTAATTGTTTAAATTCCATAAATAATCATTAGTTTACTTTCACGCAATTCAATCACTAATTTAATCTATTTCAAATGAATGCACTAATTAGTGTTATTTTAAGTAACCATACTTTATCAATAATAAATACTAAAGAAAGAAAGAAAGAAAGAAAGAAAGAAAGAAAGAAAGAAAGAAAGAAAGAAAGAAAGAAAGAAAGAAAGAAAGAAAGAAAGAAAGAAAGAAAGAAAGAAAGAAAAGCTCTTGAGTGTATATCTACAAACAGCAGTGAAGGGGTCATTCTTCAAAAGATGTTAAGTATATAATAAAACTTTATATCACCTCTACTTCTGAAGTAAAGTGATTTTGAAAATGTGTCAAACTTAACCAGCATCTGATGTGAATGGTAATGGTGGTGACCTGCTGCTGCAGTAGGCTGGCCGTCTGCAGGATATCACCTTGACACGATGTCTTACAGAACAACAGTTTCCAGTTAACAATGTCCTTTTTTAAGCAGCTGTGAAACTATCTGCTCTCTGTGTCCAATATGTGCCTTGAAATGTCTGAAAACCTGTGTGACATTGTTAAAATTGTAAAAAAAAATAAAAATAAAAATAAAAAAGAAAATTTTTTAAGGAAAAATCAACTCCTGTGTAAAAATACAACTGTTACAGTATGTGACGCTCTCGTTTTAAAACAAGTCCATGTTCCTCTTGAGTCGATGCTGAAACTGTTTGATTTTCCTTTTCTCAGGTTCTGAGTGTGAGCCGCCTGGAGGGAGCAGAAAACCCAGCACAAATGGTGTATTTTGTGGAGGGTCAGGATGGTCATCGGATGCCTGCAGTTCAAACTGCCGACCTTCTTAACAGCCTGGACGTTCAGAGGGCTGCCATTATCCTGGGATACCGTGTGCAGGGCATTTTGGCTCAGCGTGAGTATTGTGTTCTTGATTACGGAGATGTAGTTACTTGTTGGAGTTAAGAAAAAAAACCATGGAAAAACCTTTTCACTGACAGCACGTCTAGGGCTCTAGTATGCCTACTTGTGTTGTAAAGTTATAACCTTTTTCTTGAATACTGAAAAAAAAATCTGAATTAAAATATTTTTATCCAATAATTTTTATAGTTGGCTTTTAATGCTTTTAATGCTCAAGATGATTGATAATGCGCTATATTTGATCCTGTATCCCTGTTGATGTTTGATTGAAGCTGTAGAGAAGGTGGCCGCCCCCCCTTCTGACACAGAGAACACCAACATGTGGATCATCGTTGGGGTGGTGGTTCCTCTCCTCGTGGTCCTCATCATCATTTCCATCCTCTACTGGAAGCTGTGTCGGACCGACAAGCTGGAGTTTCAGCCAGATGCTATGGCAACCATCCAGCAGAGGCAGAAGGTATGCTGCCCATTCATCCATCCATCCATCCATTCATCTATCCATCCATCCATCATCATCATCCATCCATCCATCCATTCATCCATCCATCATCATCCATCCATCCATTCATCCGTCCATCCATCTCTCCATCCATCCATTCATTATCCTTCCATTCATTCATCCATCCATCCTCATTCATCCATCATCCTTCCATTCATTCATTCATCCATCCATCATCATCCATCCATCATCCTTCCATTCATTCATCCATCCTCATCCATCCATCCATCATCCTTCCATTCATTCATCCATCCATCCCCATCCATCCATCCATCATCCTTCCATTCATTCATCCATCCATCATCATCCATCCATCCATCATCCTTCCATTCATTCATCATCCATCCATCCATCCATCATCCTTCCATTCATTCATCCATCCATTATCATCCATCCATCATCATCCATCCATCATCCTTCCATTCATCATCATCCATCCATCATCCTTCCATTCATTCATTCATCCATCCATCATCATCCATCCATCCATCCACCCATTCATCCATCCATCCATCCATCCATCCATCCACCCATTCATCCATCCATCTATCCATCCATCCACCATCCATCCATCCATCCATCCATTCATTCATCCATCCATCATCATCCATCCATCATCCTTCCATTCATTCATTCATTCATTCATCCATTCATCCATCCATCCATCATCCATCCATCCATCCATTCATTCATCCATCCATCCATCCATCCACCCATTCATCCATCCATCCATCCATCATCCATCCATCCATTCATTCATCATCATCCATCCATCATCCTTCCATTCATTCATTCATTCATTCATTCATCCATCCATCCATCATCCATCCATCCATCCACCCATTCATCCATCCATCCATCCATCCACCCATTCATCCATCCATCCATCATCCATCCATCCATCCATTCATTCATCCATCCATCATCATCCATCCATCATCCTTCCATTCATTCATTCATTCATCCATCCATCATCATCCATCCATCCATCATCATCAATCCATCCATCCACCCATTCATCCATCCATCCATCCATCCATTCATTCATTCATCCATCCATCATCATCCATCCATCCATCCATCCATCATCATCAATCCATCCATCCACCCATTCATCCATCCATCCATCCATCCATCCATTCATTCATTCATCCATCCATCATCATCCATCCATTCATTCATCCATCCATCATCATCCATCCATCCATCCTTCCACCATCCATCCTGAACATATGTTTCTCTAAGCTATGGAAGAATGAGGAGAGTGTTGGTGGGGAAAAAATACAAATTTTCCAAAAAGGAAATCATGACAAACAAAAAATCAGTTTAATCGATTTCATTGAGGTCAGCTGATCTACAGTAGAGAGCAAGACAGAAAATTATTAGCTGCTGATTAATTAGCTGCCTTTGTAACGGATTTTACAAAGGCAGCAGCACGACTGCGCCTCATTTCTTTTCCTAGGTGGGAGGAGCAGCGCATTAACAATGCTCATGATGATACAGTAATGAGAAAAAGGCCTCTCTTGTTATTTTTTTCTTGTCAGACCTCAGACATATTTCCATGTTATTGATTATTTTTATTTGAAAAATGTTGATCTAGTTTTCTCCTCCACGTTCTCCTCTTAAATATATGTGAGACGGTTGTCTTCAGTGAGGTGGTTTTTGAAAAGAAATAAAAAAAAAAAATAGTTTAGTTCTTACCGAAATGTGTATTTCAAAGATAAAAATTATTTTGTTTATAAAAGGGATCAACTAAGATACTATGACTCATGTCCTTCTCTTTAGGTTGCCAGTCAGTTTCACAGACTTTGGTTCTCCTGTCTAATTTATAAACTTCATGTTGGTCATATGCGCTGTTTTTCCAATTCAGAGGGTCTTTATTTGGAATCTGACTGAAACTCTGCAGCTGCAACTTGCTATTCTCTATTTAAACTGTGCATCATTGTGAATTATGGGAATGAGTTGTGCAGACATCGCTAAAGTAACGGCCTTGTCTTTCCTGTTCAACACAATCGTCTGTCACTTATCCTCACTGCTCTTCTTCAGTCCGCTGCATCATTCAGTGAATCAGGAGCTTCCCTCCACCAAGCATTCCATCCAACTAAAGGGGATATTGAGTTTAGTGAGGATGAAGAGGGGGAGTATGAGGAAGAAGAGGAAGAAGAAGAAGAGGAGGAGGAGGAGGAAGGGGAGGAGCTGGAAGTTAAAAGGGGGAAGGTACAGAGTGGTGGTCTGTAGATCATGTAAACAGACTTAGTTTGTGCGTGGTTGTGATTCATGTTTACAGTCATGTTAAAAGATTAGGACACCCATTTAATACGTAGTTCTGTAGAGAAATCATTAAATGTTGATGTTTTGGGTTGTTGTTTTTTTTAACAGTGATTAATTACTGTTTAAACAGAAAACATCAACCTTTTTCTCATTCAACAAAAGATATGAACTTCAAGCCGTTTTCTAAATAATGAAGGGTTCAGGACACCCTGACTCCCTTTAGGGAGAAGCTTCTTCTTTCGGTAAGAATTATCTTCATTGACTCTGAGGGCAGTTTGCTCCACTTTTTCCTTCAAGCTGAGAACGTTTGACATGTTTATCTTTAACGGTCAGCCTATTTCTGTGCAGCAAAATTCCCCTTAGTTAGATTAAGACACGTGCTTTGACTACAGGTGCTGGTCATAAAATTAGAATATCATGAAAAAGTAGATTGATTTCAGTAATTCCATTTAAAAAGTGAAACTTGTATATTATATTCATACATTACATACAAACTCATATTTCAGATGTTTATTTTGTTTAATTTTGATGATTACAAATGACAACAAATGAAAATCTCAAATTCATCATATCAGAAAATTAGAATATTGTGAAAAGGTTCAAAATTGATGGCCCCTGGTGCCACACTCTAATCAGCTAATTAACTCAAACCACCTGCAAAAGCCTTTAAATGGTCTTTCAGTCTAGTTCTATAGGCTACACAATCATGGGGAAGACTGCTGACTTGACAGTTGTCCAAAAGACGACCATCGACACCTTGCACAAGGAGGGCAAGACACAAAAGGTCATCGCTAAAGAGGCTGGCTGTTCACAGAGCTCAGTGTCCAAGCACATTAATAGAGAGGCGAAGGGAAGGAAAAGATGTGGTCGAAAAAAGTGTACAAGCAAGAGAGATAACCGCACCCTGGAGAGGATTGTGAAACAAAACCCATTCAAAAATGTGGGGGAGATTCACAAAGAGTGGACTGCAGCTGGAGTGAGTGCTTCAAGAACCACCACACACAGACGTATGAAAGACATGGGTTTCTGCTGTCGCATTCCTTGTGTCAAGCCACTCTTGAACCACAGACAGCGTCAGAAGCGTCTTGCCTGGGCTAAAGAGAAACAGGACTGGACTGCTGGTGAGTGGTCCAAAGTCATGTTCTCTGATGAAAGTAAATTTTGCATTTCCTTTGGAAATCAAGGTCCCAGAGTCTGGAGGAAAAGAAGAGAGGCACTTCATCCACGTTGCTTGAAGTCCAGTGTAAAGTTTCCACAGTCAGTGATGGTTTGGGGTGCCATGTCATCTGCTGGTGTTGGTCCATTGTGTTTTCTGAGGTCCAGGGTCAACGCAGCCACATACCAGGAAGTTTTAGAGCACTTCATGCTTCCTGCAGCTGACCAACTTTTTGGAGATGCAGATTTCATTTTCCAACAGGACTTGGCACCTGCACACAGTGCCAAAGCTACCAGTACCTGGTTGAAGGACCATGGTATCCCTGTTCTTAATTGGCCAGCAAACTCTCCTGACCTTAACCCCATAGAAAATCTATGGGGTATTGTGAAGAAGAAGATGCAATACACCAGACCCAACAATTCAGACGAGCTAAAAGCCACTATTAGAGCAACCCGGGCTATCATAACACCTGAGCAGTGCCACAGACTGATCGACTCCATGCCACGCCGCATTGCTGCAGTAATACAGGCCAAAGGAGGCCCAACTAAATACTGAGTGCTGTACATGCTCATACTTTTCATGTTCATACTTTTCAGTTGGCCAACATTTCTATAAATCCTTTGTTTTTATTGGTCTTCAGTAATATTCTAATTTTCTGATATGATGAATTTGAGATTTTCATTTGTTGTCATTTGTAATCATCAAAATTAAACAAAATAAACATCTGAAATATATGAGTTTGTATGTAATGTATGAATATAATATACAAGTTTCACTTTTTAAATGGAATTACTGAAATCAATCTACTTTTTCATGATATTCTAATTTTATGACCAGCACCTGTAGACCCAAATTGTTCCATTTCTAACTTGTTTTGCCAGTCCAATGATTACATGGATTTACTGCCATGTTTGGTTTTTTGTTGGGGTTTTTTGTCTTGTATTAGGGTCAACATCTGTTTCAGCTTTATTTGATTTTAGATTTTATTGATCTTATTTAGATTTTTCTCAGAGCAAATGTTTTTTACACAGCCTCTATAGATTGATTTGAATATAATCCACCTTCAGACTTTACTGTGAAAAAACTGGTTTGAATCCCTCAGCAGATTTTGTCTTCCTCAATCCTTTATTGTATTGAGGAAGACAAGATTATTGGATGTTCCCTCTATCCCCAACAATAGGAGCAAAGAAAATACATTTATTTGATTTAAACAGGACAAACGTTTTTCAAAGTACTAAGTAATTATGTTTGCAGCATAAACAACTGATTTAATACGCCTGTGTGCAATTTTGGTAACTTATGAGGAAAATAATATGGCATCTTTTCAATTTTTCCATTTTTATTGTTTATTTATATCACTGGAATTTTTTGGTGTTAAAATTAAACATCCTAATACATATTAGAAAAAGATATCCAGGCCGTCATACGGTGTCCTAATTTAGTATCATGATTGTATGTTTAGACTGTAGATATACATTTAGAAACTAGATTATGATTCACGTGTTTTATTGGATAAAACTGTGTTGTATTTCAAGTTATGGAGGTTTGAAAAATTAGCTACAGGAAAAAAATCTGATGATATTCTGTGTAAAAGTAGAACAATACACTCTGTCCATCATGGCTCCTGTTTAGAAACCAGTAGCTCTTCCCAAGAGTAGATGGAATACGAGCAGTCTTGAAGAGGAAGAAGAGGAGGAAGAGGGAGCCGAGGAAGAAGAACAAGAAGATGATTATGAAGAAGAGGAGGAGGAAGAAGATGATGATGATGAAAATAAGAACTTCAGAATAAAACAAATAACACAGCGTCAGCAAAAGCTAGAAAAGATGACATTTGTCCCACCAGGGACAAAGACAGAGGAGAGAAAGGCTGTGTCTAAAGGAAGGGGAGCCACGGGGAACCAGAAGGTATATGTGGTCCTAGACATGGAGACTAGTGGTTGTTGGTGTAAATACAAGCTAGAACCCTGGAATCTCTCCACAATTACTGTGGTAGATGGCAGAACTTTAGCATTAGAGGACTATAGTGTGCTGATATTCTATAGATTATGTGTTGTGTGTGCAGAACTGGTCTCTTATTAGTTCATCCTATGATCTTAGTAGAGCACACACTACAGTTAGCTATAGTAGTTTTTGACCACACCAAAAGTGTTTACTTTGTCCTTTTTTAAAACCTCATAAGTTTTTTGCACCAAATGATCAGCAGACTGCACACAAGATTGCACTATCGCCATCTGCTGGCTGCTTATCTAAATTAATTTGAAAAGTTGAGCAGTGATGCCCCGTCCACACGAAGCCAAACCCTGGCCTAAACGCACAAATTTTTCACCAATGCATATGGTATGCATTCTTGCTGATTCACAAAGCGTGACAGATTTGTAAAAAGGTTTGCTTTGTTTTCCAACAATTATAGCAAAAATTAAAGGAGAGAAATAACATAATAAGCCAACAGGACAAACCTTTGTATGCATCAGAGTGAGCCTCTGGTGTAGAAATTCAGAAGGTCATAGAACGTGACTACAGCCCTTTGAGTAAAAGCACAGGGGGGACAGCATCTGTGCTAAAATACTTTATGCATCAAAATAATGAAATGCTACCACTATTTATACAAAATGTATTTATAGGCAACAGAATGGAGGAAGTAAGGGAAAGAACCACATTTTTAAATAAGTGTTTTCTTTAACAATAATACTCACCAAAGAGTACTTCAAGCTAAATGTAAACATCACAGCTACAGAAAAAAACAGACTAAACTGACTGTTGCAAACTGAAACTGTGTTGTGACAAATCCAGAATATAAACAAACAAGATTTTTTTGCCAATAGCCAGAGGATTTTAGTACAACCTGTTGGAACAATCTATATTTTTTAGGGTTATTTTTTTCAACAAAACTAAAACGTAGACCAGTTTTATTGTTGCATAATTCATCAATCCATATCTTTTGACTGCTAATCCATTATTAATAAAATACTACCTAATCTCATTCAGTTCTGTACTGACGATTTTTTGCCAAATAAACATATTAAAGTTATTATCTTCATACATGTAAATAGGTATGTAAACAAATTTCAAACCCCCCCAAAATATCAAATTTATAAAGGCACAAAGCTAACTAATTTTCTCCCACAGATTTTTTTGTTGTTTTTTTTTTTGTTTATGTAACATGATTAACAGCATAGAGATATATCCTCTCTGGATATTAGTAATACACCCCAGTAAATAATACAGGATTAACTGTTTTAAACCAACAAGCTTCATTAAAGATGCAAACTAGCTGAAGCTTTGGGAACTAAGAAGAGATTTTCCTGAAGCCACATCTTAGTGTCGCAGGACCAAAGTTTCTGTCAACACAGATAGTGAGAGCATGCATCCACTATTTAGCCCTGTGTTGTTGGAACGTCCTCAGGGCTTTACACAGAAATAGTCTCACTGTTTCTGTCTCTAGCCTCCACCCCCCACCACCTCACAGGAAAGCCTGCAGTTCTGTGTTTACCCCACTTTCTAACAGACTGCCAGACTCTCTTTATTCATTAATGCCTGTCTGTCTCCCTCCTGCAGATCCTTTCAGTTAGTCAACCCAATTATGCCTCTAAAATTCTATTTCTGTCTTGGCTGCAAATTCAGAGTTACTGGAATATTCATGTGTCACTCTGACTGGAAACTGTATGTCACTTCTGAACCTTTAATCTACCTTTTTCCTTGCTGTATTTACTCTACCCTTCCTGTCGTTCACTCTCTGCCACCTCTCTCAGTTACAGGCTCCCAGTGTGAAAGGCTTTGATTTTGCCAAGCTCCATCTTGGCCAACAGAGTAAAGATGATGTCATGGTGATCCAGGAGCCCGCCCCACCATGCTCTGGCTCTGGTCCTCTCGCTCAGTCCATTAAAGATGGCCTCAGTCCATGTGAGAACGGCGAGGCCCCCACGCCCAAATCCAAAACCTCTGCCTCCTCCACCAAGGCGTCCCGCAGCAGCCAAAGGCAAGAAAGGTCAGTGCTGCAGGAGTTAGAGAGGATGGAAGGGGAGTAATAGCTGGATCTTGGTGTCAGAGCTGAGTGAAGATAAACATTTTCTAGATTTTAGATTCAGGTCCTTTTAACCATAACTCGCTGATTTAAAAAAAGTCTGCAGCAAGTTCTTAACCGGGTTTCTGACAGATTTAAACTTGTTCATAGACCTTTTTGATGCAGATTTGATCAAGAGTTTAGTTTTATTGCTACTTAAAATGGCTCAAACCTCAGACAGAAAAGATGAGGACGTCCATACTTGGCCTGTTGAAGGACGTTTGTCCTGTTTTGACCTTAAACTTAAAGGGAGAGGGATGTCCGATGATCTGTCTGAGGCATTCCACTGTGATCAAACAGGTGGAGAGAGTATTGGCTGTACAATCTGAATCTTGTGGGTTTGATTCTGCAACATGATGATGTGCTCCCGAGCACAGCTCCTGACTGTTATCTATTTGTGTGAGCGTGACTAGTTATATGAGGCTTTTGTGTTCAGTGGTTGATATGACTAGAAAAGTTCTATATGCATTTTTTTTTTTGTCTGTTGACCCAAAATGGCACCTTCTTTTTTTGTTGATGTTTTTAATGATGAGGAAGATCCTCCACACATGTTGATCGCACATCAGAGCCAATTCATGTCTGCCTGATTTATTCATTCTTTTTTTACAGTTTAAATTTTTAGAGTTATAATTTAAAAAATACTGTTAATCATAATATTAAGGACGGATTAAGTGAATTTTTATTAAATCTATCAGGAGAATTCCTCATAGCTCTGAATCATCAGTGGAAATTTTTAATCCGTTATGTTTTTAGTCTCCTTCCAGCTCATGTTTCTGGAAGACCTTGTTTTTTTGATAATGCATGGTGATAAAGCACATTGGTGTTGTCTTCCATTATTTATGTAGCTGTGTGTGATTTCTGGGCAGGGTCTCCCCATCAGACGGTGACTCAGTGGTGAGTGACCGCTCCATTGAACGGGAATTGGCTGAGGACAACCTGAGAGGCCAGGCCACGCCCAGCGACAGCAAGCAGATCCGTAAGCCTCCCATCAATGTTTTAAATGCAACACTTAACAACAGTTCTCCAAACCTGGAGGCGGAAAAATTTAGGGAGAGGGGTGGAGGAAAACTGAGCAAAATTGGACTGATAAGGAGAAAAGAAGGAACAGCTAAAGCTGGCAGGACCAAGAAGAAGGCCAGACTGAGGGCAGAGATGAAAAGGATGCAGAAAAACAAAAGATGTTGTTTGGTTTCTGTTTGTGATCTAAAAGGGAATCTGAAGTTACTTTATCTGACAGCTTGTTGATTGATTTAAGCTTGCCTTGTCATTCAGAGTGTTTGGGAGCCGGAATCAGCCAAACAGAAGACAGGCTGAGTCACCCACAGAGGAGAGCTCTCTGTTGTGTTATGGCTCAAATCCTGGCTGGGACGATGTGTGCGCTTCATTGGGTTTATAATTAGAAAGTGTATGAAGCTGATGTGTGACTCCTCTCTCTGTAATCATGGTATTTCCTGCTTCTCAGAACTGCTTTTACATATAAACTAATTAGAGGCAAAGAAAGATTTTATTAAGTCTGAAAACTTTATTTCTGTGGGTCATGGTAGACTAATTCTACGCTTTTCTTTTAACCAATGCGTAAAGTCAATCTTTAACCTTACTTAATTTGTTTTATCTCATAAAGACTCTTTTTTTCCTTTCTGATATATGCTCTGCAGGCAAAAATAGAATCGGTAAGGGCTGGTCCTCTTTCTCTCTGTTTTGCCCCATAGACCCAAGGCTTGACCTCCTGCAGCTGTGTCTGTGTGTTCCCTGTTTGCTGCTTTAGCTGTCATTGTGTTCTGCTAATTCCCACCATCCATCACTGTCTGCTGGGCTGTCAGTCACCGCCAAGAAACCATAGGCCTCTCTAGAAAAAGTCAAAACTTTGGTCCTAAATTAAGTTTAGCTCTTGCAGATGGAAATCTATGTTCATTCATGTTGCCACTGCCAACATTTGTCATTGCTAAGTTTTGTTAGAAAGTCGTGCTTTAATTATTATTTGGACAGTTTGATATTTGACACTCCTGTAGCTAGCATAGCTTATGTTTTCATACTTTTATGTTTTCATTTCATTCTTTTCTTCAGGTCCACCTCCTACAAATAGCTCCGCAAACGAGCCGCCGTCCTCAGCCTCCATCTTTGAGCATGTCGATCGGATGTCTCGCGCCACAGATGCTAGCCGCAGGCTCCCTAACAAAGTGCAGCTCATCGCCATGCAGCCTATGCCAGTCCCACCGCTGCGCAGCCCTCCTGTCAGCAGCAAGACTTCTGATCCAAACCAGATCAACAAAGAGGTGATGACATAAATTCATCTAATAGAAGATTATTCTCTGCTAGTTAGGCATAGTTTACTCTGCCTCCCCTGTTTATTATCATCTAGATATTCAATTCAATTCAGTTTATTTATATAGCGCCAAATTCACAACACATGTCATCTCAAGGCACTTTACAGTTCAACCAGATCATACAGTCAAATTGATACAAAGTTTTCTATCTAAGGAAAACCAGTTGATTGCATTGACTCATTGACTCAAATACAATCCCCCACACTAAGCATGCTTGTAGCGACAGTGGAGAGGAAAAACTCCCTTTTAACAGGAAGAAACCTCCAGCAGAACCAGGCTCAGTGTGAGCGGCCATCTGCCGAGGCCGACTGGGGTTCAAGGAGACAGAAGCAGAGATACAAAAAGCAGCTGTAAAAGGCGGCCCCGTCCAGGAAACACGCAGCCAGACAGACGAGCTCCAAGGCAGCTCCCATGCCAGAGGACGAAGAGAGCACATCCACTCAGTCACGGTCAGAGAAACAGGATCACACTGGAAAACAGGCCGATCTCCAACATCTATAAACAAGGGTGTTGATAGAAGCAGCACAGCTGATGTTTCTCTCCAGTATGGCGTCACAGCCAAACAGGAACAGACGAGGCAAAGCTACTCTGAGGAAAAGCAGAGAGAGCAGAAGGTTAGAGATTGAACTAACAGATTCTGCAGAATAGGAGAACAGAGAGAGAATGAAGCAGAATGATGAAATGGGGGTCCCTATGTCCTCCAAAAGTCTAAGCCTATAGCAGCATAACTATAGAGATAGCTCAGGATAACCTGAGCCACCCTAACTATAAGCTTTATCAAAAAGGAAAGTTTTAAGCCTAGCCTTAAAAGTAGACAGGGTGTCTGCCTCACGGACTAAAACTGGTAGTTGGTTCCACAGGAGAGGAGCCTGATAACTAAAAGATCTGCCTCCCATTCTACTTTTAGAAATTCTAGGAACCATTAGTAAACCTGCAGATTGAGAGTGAAGTGCTCTGTTAGGAACATAAGGAACAATCAGATCTCTGATATAAGATGGAGCTTGGCCATTTAAGGCTTTATATGTGAGAAGGAGGATTTTAAATTCTATTCTTGATTTAACAGGAAGCCAATGAAGAGAAGCCAGGATAGGCGAGATATGATCTCTCTTTTTAATTTTCATTAGAACTCTGGCTGCAGCATTTTGGATCAGCTGAAGGCTTTTAACTACAGTTTGTGGACTTCCTGATAGTAAAGAATTACAATAGTCCAGCCTTGAAGTAACAAATGCATGGACTAGTTTCTCAGCATCACCCCTGGACAGGATATTTCTAATTTTTGTAATGTTCCTCAGATGAAAGAAGGAAATTCTAGAAACCTCTTTGATGTGGGATTTAAATGACAGGTCCTGATCAAAAATAACACCAAGATTTTTTACTTTATTATCTGAAATCAGTTTAATCCCATCCAAATGAAGTGACTGGCTAATCAGTTTCTTTTTCAGAGACTCTGGTCCAAAGACTATAACTTCTGTTTTGTCTGCATTCAGGAGCAGAAAGTTAAGAGTCATCCAGGTTTTTATGTCTTCAAGACATGCCTGTAATCTATGTAATGGGTTAGCTTCATCTGGATTTATTGACAGATATAGCTGGGTATCATCAGCGTAACAGTGGAAATTAATCCCATGCTGTCTAATAACTCTACCAATTGGGAGCATGTATAAAGTAAAGAGAATTGGTCCTAGCACTGATCCCTGTGGTACTCCACAGGTAACCTTTGAGCGTGTTGAAGATCTATCATTAACATGAACAAACTGAATTCGATCAGATAGATAAGATTTAAACCAGTCTAGTGCTGTTCCTTTAATTCCAACAAAATATTCAAGTCTTTCTAAAAGAATATTATGGTCAACTGTATCAAATGCAGCACTAAGATCCAACAGGACGAGCACAGATACAAGTCCATTATCTGAGGCCATGAGAATATCATTAGTGACTTTCACCAGAGCTGTTTCAGTGCTATGATGAGCTCTAAAGCCAGACTGAAACTCTTCAAAAAGTTCATTATGGTGGAAGTGATCGCAAACTTGTTTGGCAACTACTTTCTCAAGAATTTTGGATAAGAAAGGAAGATTGGATATAGGTCTATAATTGACCAAGTCATGGCTCTGGGTGAGTTTGGCAACTGTATTAAAAAGAAATCTAGGATTATTCTTATTCTCCTCTATTAATGAGGAGAAGTATGCTGCTCTTGCTTTACAAAGAGTCCTCTTATACAGCAGTAAACCATTTTTCCAGACTAGGAAGGACTCTCGCAGGCCTGTGGAGCGATATTTTCTCTCCAGTTTCCTAGCATTTTGCTTCAAAGTACGCAGCTCTGCATTAAACCAAGGAGCAAGCTTTCTATTTTTAACGGTTTTCATTTTCAAAGGAGCTGCGTTGTCTAAGGCAATACGCAGAGAACTAGCAACCCCATCAACAAAATCATCAACCTGTGAAGGGGAATAAGCTAAGCTTTTGCACTCTGCAGCACTGCTCAGTGACACAGAGGAGAGAGAAAGTGAAGCAGATTCTTTTAAATTTATAACTGCACTATCTGATAAAGATCTACTAAAATTGAACCTTCTTTTGGGGGAGGAGAACTCTGTTAAAGTAATCCTGAAGGTTATTGGAAAGTGGTCAGAGAGGACAGGGTTGTGAGGAAATACTGTTATTTCTTCACATTCTATGCCGTATGTCAGCACAAGATCCAAAGTATGAAGATGAGAATGCGTGGGACTATTCACATTTTGAACAAAGCCAATAGTGTCTAAGATAGCATTAAAGGCTGCTCTTAAGCTATCGCCTTCAATGTCAGCATGGATGTTAAAATCTCCCACTATGATGACCCTGTCAGTATTTAATACCAAATCAGAAAGGAACTCTGAAAACTCATCCAAAAATTCAGAGTAAGGACCTGGTGGACGATACAAAGTTACAAAAAGAAGAGGTTTTCTTGCCTTGAAATTTGGATCAGGGAAATTAAGGGTTAAATGTTCAAAAGAGTTGTAGGTATTAATTGTTTTGGGAGTAATCAGCAAGTCAGACTGGAAGATTGTTGCTACTCCTCCTCCTCGCCCAGAACTTCTGGGGATGTGAAAATTTAAATAGCTTGAAGGAGTTGCCTCATTTATGCTCACATAATCCTCTTGCTGCAGCCAGGTTTCTGTAAGGCAAAACAAGTCAATGTGATTATCACAAATCAAGTCATTAACTAGTAGACTTTTAGAGGAAAGCGATCTTATGTTAAACAGACCGCATTTAATTGTTTTAACTTTTTCCCCAATTGGAGTTATTTTGATTTTAATTAGATTATCATGATTTACTCCTTTGGGAATCTTTGCTAATTCATTAGATTTTGGTCGTGGGCAAGACACTGTCTGGATGGAGTAAAGAGTGGGTAACAGTAGAGAAGCTGCAGAGATGTGTGTTAAACTACAACTCTGCTTCCAGGTCTGCACCCTGGGTGGTCAGGGTTTTGGAGGACTAATAAATGTGGCCAGATTCCTAGAAAGAAGAGCTGCACCATCCAAAGTGGGATGGATGCCGTCTCTCCGAATCAGACCAGGTTTTCCCCAAAAGGATTGCCAATTATTAATGTAGCCCACGTTGTTTTCAGGACACCACCTAGACAACCAGCGGTTGAATGACGACATGCGGCTAAACATGTCATCACTGGTCAGATCAGGGAGGGGACCAGAGAAAATTACGGAGTCCGACATTTTTTTGGCAAACTTACACACCGAAGCAACACTAATTTTAGTGACCTCCGATCGGCGTAACCGGGTGTCATTACCACCAGCGTGAATAACAATCTTACTGTATTTAACCTTATCCTTAGCCAGTAGTTTCAGGTAGGATTTGATGTCGCCCGTTCTGGCCCCCGGCAAACATTTGACTATGGTCCCTGGTGTCTCTAATGCCACGTTTCTGACTATGGAGCTGCCAATCACCAGAGTGGGCTTCTCAGTGGGTGTGTCACTGAGTGGGGAAAACCGGTTAGAAACGTGAACGGGTTGGTGGTGACCAGTGGGCAGAGATCCACGACTACGCTTTCTGCGTACAGTTACCCAATCGCCTGGCTGCTCAGGCACTTTTGGAGGACAGCCACGTGGGGGGCCTACTTTAACTCCTGGATGTTCAACAGCCTGAAGCCTGGATTCTAACTCTGACACCCTCGCCTCCAAAGCTACAAAAATACTACACTTATTACACATCCCATTATCACTAAAGGAGGCAGAGGAATAACTGAACATCTGACACAGAGAGCAGGAGAGAGGAGAGGAAGAAGGAAGAGTTGGAAAAGAGTCAAGGGAGGGAGAGAGAGAAGCCATAGCAATGCTAAGCTAGCGCTAGCCTAGGCTAGCTACTCCTTGCTATCAGAAATAAAACCGTGTGAAACTGACAAGTGCTCAGTAGAAAAGTGCAGCAGAAGGTGCTATGTTTTAAAGTAGTCAGTTAGAGTTACTTAGATACAGAGATATCACAGAGAAAATAACTTAACTTCAGATGGAGATCCTCTGAACAGCTGCACACTCAGTTAATCCAAACAGGAAGTGAACAGGTCTTGAAGTGAACAGGTGAAGATATAGATGTTGAACCTGAGTATATATGGTACTACTTTTTTGGTAAAATTGGTATTGCAAATAAAAACAAAAACAAGGAATCACCTTCAGTTTCTAGTATGAAACAGAGTATATTGATTGATACTGATGTTACTTTTGTACTTTGCATCAAACTAGCTACATTTATATGCGAAAACTAATTTTCCCCGATCTGATTTAAACCTTGGTTGACTGGAAAATCGAAATCTCTGTTTACATTGACACTGAATAAAATTATCCGATCACTAACAAGCATTTGATCAGATCAAATCATTTGAAGCGTGCGTGGAACTGTCTTAATTTTATAAAAATGCTTTAAGAGTAGAAGATGAAACTGCGTGTTGTACTTATCCGCCCGTCCTTTAACTTTAGCTGCTCTTTATCCCCGCCTCTCATATTTCTTTTTCTTCAGTTCTTCAGTCGTGTCTGTTTATGTTGTTTTTTTCTTTCCATTATGGACCTTCATTGCTTTTTTGTATCCATACTTTTGTTTTTGCTGCTCATTTTAATTAAGTTAAGGGGTTAGGAGTACCTTATGCTAATGCTCGTTAGCTACAGGAGTATAGGGCAGGATGGCATTTTCATCCGCACATTACATTTACAGCCACCTGCACCACCTAAGGCCAAGAGAATGTGGGTCAAGGTTAGGAGTGAAGAGTCAAATGTCATGCTGATATTGCACACATGTGCATTGGAGATTATTTTACTCCAAAGATCCTAAAGGGTGTTTACTTGGAGGCCAATCCGATTGGCGATCGGAAAAAAAAAAACAACAGAAAAAAAACTCTTTTGAAATGAAATTTGTTTCAGATCGGATTAAAATCTTCAGTCCACCTTGTTTAGATGAAACATTTTGATTTCTGTGTCTATGTAATCTTAACTAGTGTCTACTAGGCAAATAGGAATACATGACTAACCGGTCATATTCAACATGTGAAGCACCCACACTGTCAGATGAGTTAAACAGCAGTCCTCCATCAACAGTCGCATTTCTTTGTCCCATTCTAAATTTTACAGGCTTTCAATTTCTGTATAAATTCAGTTCTCCTTTGAAAACCTTGAGTTTCCTTAGGAAAAAGAGAGCAGGCACCTACAGTTTCTTAATACCTTACAGTTTCTGCTAAATTATGTTGGTCTGCCACATATAATCTCAATAAAATTGACTGGTGATTTCCTTATGTGTCCAAACCTTGCTGTCAGATCCAGGCAGCTTTGAGGCACAAGTCAGAGATTGAACATCATCGTAACAAGATCCGTCTGCGTGCCAAGAGGAAAGGCCACTATGATTTTCCTGCAATGGATGACATGATCAGCAGCCTCGGCGACGCAAAGGAGCAGGATCGCATCTACCAAAAGGCTCAGACTCAAATAGATAAGATTCTGGATCCAGATAATCCAGTTCCCTCCATTTTCATCGAGTCCAAGAAAAGGTTTGAGCTCGTCGGTTTACTATTTGAATATTCCCTTTGACATTATAGTTTTCAGATTCAGCTGAAGTAAAATAAAGCAGTCTAAAACATGTTGACTCTGTTCCTTTGCCTCCACAGCGGCCGCGGGCGGCGCTCTCCAAAGCAGAGACTGAGGGAGCAGCTGAATGGAGGCATGATGGAAGCAGACAAAGACCACCTCATCACTGAGGATGGCGACGCAGTCTACAGGAGGTGCCCTGGGGTCAACAACGTAGCATATGTGGTGAGTAGAAACAGCAGATCAACATCAACAATCCAAGAACTGCCAGACATTCAAATGCCCTGTATTCTGAATCCAGTCGGACCCTGACCAAGGCCCTGGCTCCCCTCTGAGGAGCCCCTCCCCCACTGATGATGTCTTCCTCGGCCCAGCTTCCTCCCCTCCAGGCCAAGCCCCTCCCCCACCCCCCTACATGCCTCCACAGCCCTCCATAGAGGAGGCACGGCAACAGATGCACTCCCTGCTGGACGATGCCTTTGCTTTGGTGTCGCCCACGTCTCAGAGCAGCACAGCAGGGATCACCCTGCCAGGGGTCATCAGCAACCCTCAGGGCACCAGCCCTCCAGGCCGGGGCCCCAAAGCGTGGGGCCCCTCTTACCAAGCTCTTGGTTCTTTTCCTGGTGTAAGTATTCAGATGTTAATCAGCTACTTTGACATACTGTTGATATCACTTTTATTATAGTGCATCTCTTTTAGTAATTATTGCTTTTTGGTTTTGAATAAATTTTATTCTGTCACCAATTTAGTTTTCCTACACTTTTGGTTTGTTTTCAACAACTTTAATCATTATTCTCTAGTCTTTCTTTTTTTCTGCTGAGTATTAACCTTTCTACCAGTTGTTATATTAAAAGAGCATTTTTATTTCAGTTTTATTAATTAGTTTATCATATTTTTTCTTTCTACTCTTTCAGTTGTTTTGCTCTTATCATTTTTTTTGCTCCTTTTAAATACTTTTTCTCTAAAAAGTCCTTCAAACCCAAGCAACTTCAGAGCTTAATTTTCTCGTTTTATATCCTAACCATCTTGCCGCATCCGCTCTGCTGACGATCTTTGCTGATAGATTAGTTTGCAGACAAACATTTGCTTCATTTCTCTGTGTTTGGAAATATTTTTACTTGTAAATGGACGTATTTGGTTCTCAATCAGTAGTAGTAGTTCTGCGTAAAGAACAATATTCTGAACAAAGTCAAAGTCAAGACTTTGATGACATTGTTCTGCACTCATCTCTCTCCTGCAATACTATTGGTTGAGCCTTCCATGATGCCTTCTTTTCTTTCAGACAAACATCTCACCAACCAAATGTATTAACAATAAATACTTTCATTTTTCTAAATGTAAATAAAATACTTTAATATCAAATTTACATACTCAATCACATGTGAATGAACAACTCATTCTGTGACTGTGAGTCTGAAAAGGAGTATGATAAGGTTTAACTTCAGTTTCCATTAATTAATTTATACCATAGTCTTCTTGTTTCCGGTATCCTTTTCAAAATGATATTTTTCTCTCAAATATATTTCAATTGTTATACAATCAAAATGATATCTAATCACATTAATTATGGTTTCAATTGTATTATATCTAAGACTGATGTTTACATATATAGCCACTCTTCCACCAGTCTTCCCCTCTCTATAATAATATAGCTAAATTGATGAGCATTTAGCTTAAAATCTGCTCCCTTCTCAAAATTAAGCCAGGTCTAGAGGTAGTAATGACACTTAAAGGTTGATTAAGCTGGCTTAAACAGCCTTTGATGTGGTTAAAATTAGCATATAAGCTTCTACTGTATAAATGTATAATGGAAAATGTATTTTCTGCTTTAAATGTTGAGTTGCATTGCTAAGTCGAGCAGTGGCCACAGATGTTCATAATGTTAGAGAAGAAGTTATCCAAAGTGATCCAAAACCTTTTCCTTTTTTAGACTTTTATATTCAGTGTAGCCACAGATGTTCATAATGTTAGAGAAGAAGTTATCCAAGTGATCCAAAACCTTTTCCTTTTTTAGACTTTTATATTCAGTGTAGTCAAATGTTCAGTCCCAGGTGATCAACATCAGATAGAGTTAGTGTCAATTTTATGTCCATAATTAATGAAGACAAAGTATTATTTAATTGAGACATTGTGATTGTGTGTCATGTGCCACTAAGAAGAAGGGTCTGATTGTTTTGTCTTTTGGTTTGGGTTTAAAGTCGGGTCCGGACCTTTGGGAAATTCTGTATGCTGTGTAGCGATATTATATTGGATATTTGCATAAAAACGGTTTGCAGATAAAGGCTACAGTATGATCTATTTGGTAAAGAGAGGCAGACAGATTATGATTTAAATGTCCTGCTCACCATACGCTAACCCTCCCTTTCTTTCACAACACGAAGCCGGCAGCTTCCACTGAACTTGTTTCTTCTTAGCAAACTAATTGGTTAAGCATTCCTCCATCTGTTGCTCCCAGGCAGCTCCAAGCTAACAGCCCTTATCAGCTATATAAAGTCCGCCTCCTAAGACCCTACAGCTTTACAGACTTTATGTCCCTCATATCTGCATATATATATATATATATATATATATATATATATATATATATATATATACATATATATATATACACTATATTGCCAAAAGTATTTGCTCACCCATCCAAATTATTGGAATCAGGTGTTCCAATCACTTCCATGGCCACAGGTGTATAAATTCAAGCACCTAGGCATGCAGACTGTTTTTACAAACATTTGTGAAAGAATGGGTCGCTCTCAGGAGCTCAGTGAATTCCAGCGTGGAACTGTGATAGGATGCCACCTGTGCAACAAATCCAGTCGTGAAATTTCCTCGCTCCTAAATATTCCACAGTCAACTGTCAGCTGTATTATAAGAAAATGGAAGTGTTTGGGAACGACAGCAACTCAGCCACGAAGTGGTAGGCCACGTAAACTGACGGAGCGGGGTCAGCGGATGCTGAAGCGCATAGTGCGAAGAGGTCGCCAACTTTCTGCAGAGTCAATCACTACAGACCTCCAAACTTCATGTGGCCTTCAGATTAGCTCAAGAACAGTGCGCAGAGAGCTTCATGGAATGGGTTTCCATGGTCGAGCAGCTGCATCCAAGCCATACATAACCAAGTGCAATGCAAAGCGTCGGATGCGGTGGTGTAAAGCACGCCGCCACTGGACTCTAGAGCAGTGGAGACGCGTTCTCTGGAGTGACGAATCGCGCTTCTCCATCTGGCAATCTGATGGACGGGTCTGGGTTTGGCGGTTGCCAGGAGAACGGTACTTGTCTGACTGCATTGTGCCAAGTGTAAAGTTTGGTGAAGGGGGGATTATGGTGTGGGGTTGTTTTTCAGGAGCTGGGCTTGGCCCCTTAGTTCCAAGGAAAGGAACTCTGAATGCTTCAGCATACCAAGACATTTTGGACAATTCCATGCTCCCAACTTTGTGGGAACAGTTTGGAGCTGGCCCCTTCCTCTTCCAACATGACTGTGCACCAGTGCACAAAGCAAGGTCCATAAAGACATGGATGACAGAGTCTGGTGTGGATGAACTTGACTGGCCTGCACAGAGTCCTGACCTCAACCCGATAGAACACCTTTGGGATGAATTAGAGCGGAGACTGAGAGCCAGGCCTTCTCGTCCAACATCAGTGTGCGACCTCACAAATGCGCTTCTGGAAGAATGGTCAAAAATTCCCATAAACACACTCCTAAACCTTGTGGACAGCCTTCCCAGAAGAGTTGAAGCTGTTCTAGCTGCAAAGGGTGGACCGACGTCATATTGAACCCTATGGATTAGGAACGGGATGTCACTTAAGCTCATATGTGAGTCAAGGCAGGTGAGCAAATACTTTTGGCAATATAGTGTATATACCGGTGTGTGTATATATATATATATATCAAGTTCTGTAAAAATTCCTACTGTTGCTGTATGCTAAATCTCAATTTTAGAGTATGGTTTTTTACAAACTTATTTGTACAGTTTTATGTTATTGTTGAAACAGCTGAGAGACGAAGTTATCTGGCTGGCAAACCTTATATCCACATATCATTGGAATCCTATTCAGGGTTAAGGATCACAGCTGGAATGAGATACAATAACAGGACATGTTGTAAGGGGTTACTGGAAACCTAAACACTGATTAATCCGTCACATTCACGTAATGAGTGTCATAGCTACACAGGCTTCCCTATTAAATCTGTCCTTGAAGGCAATGCTTTAGATACTACTTTAAACATATCTGCTTTTGTTTTTTTATGTTAAACTCTAATGTTCTGAATAATCAACTATCAGCTCTGAGACTACAGAAATGATTCACTGTAATAAGATGCTCTAAAAGGGACGATTGAAACAAAGCTAAACTTTGGTTCTTTTAAATAAGTGAGGCAAAGAGGTGTACAGAGATCTGTGGCTGATGCCAGATAATAATGCAGAATACATCTTTTACAGAGGGTGTCCACTCCATCAGTGCTTATCAGTAGACTATGTCTCACTATTTTGGGGTCAGATAGGTTTTATAAATGTGCTGCAATTTCTAATTGACTCACAGGTGTTTTATTATAAAACCCAGTCTCAATGAGAAAAACTTTTCAGACATTATCTGTCTTTAAGCTGCACAGTATATTTTTTATTCCAACCCCTTTCCCTCAACAATTAAAACAAAACCTTAGGTTTTGTAACATTGTGACAATAATTAAGATGATTATTCAATGCAGTTTATTTCTATAGCACCAATTCACAACACACGTCACCTGAAGGGAGTTTAGAGACAATTCAACCAGATCAGACAGTCCAATTGGTTCAGTCTGTCAGTTTTCACTCCAAGGAAAACCAGACCCCTCACACCAAGCATGCATGAAGCGACAGAAGAGAAGAAAAACTCTCTTTTAACAGGAGGAAACCTCCAGCAGAACCAGGCTCAGTGTGAGCAGCCATCTGCCAAGGGCGACTGGAGTTCAGGGAGATGTTCCAATCCCAAAGTTGGCTATGCTCAAATAATTATGATATTTCGTGGAGAATAAATAAAACATTAGAACTTCTACCTCATAGCATTATATTATAAAAAGGAAAAGTTATAATCATACATACCTGTTACTGTATATTTAATGTAAAGCATGTAATATTAGCTAGTGTACATTTTTTTCAAGCAACATAGATTATACCTTACAAGTAACAGACAAAATAACCTGTAGATCTCAAAGTGCGAAGCCATTCCCTCGTCTAAAGAAATACATCAACATGTGAGAAACAAAGTCACCAATCAGAAATATAAGAATTTCTATGAAATCAAAGGACCCCCACCAAGAAAGAAAAAAATCACACACTGTTTTTGAGTTTTACAAAAACGAGAAAGTTCAGATTGAATCTTTAATTCAATGCTTTTTGCTGCTGCTGAACTGCAGAAAGAAAGGAGACCAACCATATCTCACTTCAACACAGAATAAAACTGACGGCTTTTCAGGATCCATAAGTAGGAGAAGAGTTAATGCTCCATAAAATACAGATATCTTCTCTGGATTTATTGTCCTGTATGGATCTGCTACGTTCCGACAGCAGGATGTTTGTTGTCTATTTCAGACTAATGACTCTCAGATGACATGTTTTCTTCTTCTAGAGAATCACTGAGCTGGGCGTGTCCTCTGCTGCTGTCCCAGGCCTGACCCCAAGGTGAGCAGGAACCCAGTTGAAAGACAATCATATACTAACTTAGAACATTTAAATTCACCTCTTTTTCAATTTATCAAAAGGATGTCTTCGGGATAGTTCCAGTGAAATTTACTCACCTCTTTCCCAGTATGTATGTTTTCCTTTTGGTGCAGCATAGCAAAACATTTATGAAAGGTAGGAGCTGCGGTCCCTCATAAATAATGAAAGCAAGTCTTTTTAAATAAATCTGTTTAATGGAACCGGTCTGAGCAAAGGTCATAAGGACACACACTTGTTTTAGAACACAGCAATGGGTTCAAACTTCTGTGTTTGCAATTAATTTTGTTTTGCAGCCTTTTTAATGCAAAAATGTTACATTTGGGTTATAGTTTCTACCAGTCCGTTTTCAGGGTTGTTGTTTTGCATCTTTATTGCTTTCACATCCAGGAAATAGATTATTGCAACTAATGAATTATTCTCTTTGTGTTTCAGACTAGGCCTTGGCTCCAGCTACCTGTCACCAGGAGAGGCAGCAGGCCACAGCGAGTCCCTCCAACCAGACAGCTTGTACTCCGGCAGGGGCCTCTACGCCAAAGAGCTGCCCTCGTCTGCCAGGCCACGCCCAGTAGGGGGAACTACAGGTACGGGGAAAGGTTTGGAAACAACACGCATGCTCCGCGGGTCATCAATTACTTATGTTGGGAATTTAAAACTTTGTAGAAATATCTGTTTTTATCAGTATCTCAAGGTCAAGGCTGCATCAGGTGAAGATGTTTGAAAACCTTTCAGATAAATGTATGTTTCATTGCTGCAGCGTAATCTTTCAGAGAAAGGCTTAATTCCAGTATTTGTTTATTACCCAAGTCTTTTTTTTATTGCAATTTGAAATATCAACATAAAACATAAATATCTAATAAATGTCATGACTCCATAACAAATAACAAATATAGACAAGGTTGAAAGATGAAAGGAGAAAAGAGGAATTAAAGACATCGGCAATGTTAGATATAACTAATAGCACGAGTAATATAGAAAAATAAATAAGGTTAATATTGACTCACCAACACATTAGGTGTTTATGTTACATATAAATCTTCTCACCATTTACAGTTGAACAACATCAAATAGATTACGGTAAAATATTTTTAATTAGACCCATTAAAGATGAAAGAAACTCCTTGCTTCCTTCACACACTGTCAGTGAGTCAAAGCTCATCTACTTAGTAGGGAAAAATCCAACTTTTGACATAATTGGTTTGAACTAAATGTTGTTCTGTACCCACTTAATTTTTTAAGTTGATCAGAGTTTCTAAGATTTTAACAATCCATGACTTCCTGTTTTCCCTGCTGTAGAAATATAATGCGATAAAGAGGCTCCTGACATTTAGCCCCTCCCATAATCCATAATCCTCTACTTGGATGCAAGCTTATCTTCAATGATCCAGGGGATAAATACATATTTATAGCCCACAGGTGGAGAAATGCAGCAAAGAGACCCGTACTGACGACCTAGTCATCATAGCAACCATTTCATCCCTGTCTTTGACTTAATGAAGGGCTGAATATATATTGGAGAAAAAAAATCTGGTTGTAGCACAACCAGTTGATGCAGAAGAGCATCTCTGAACACACAACGTGTGGAACCTTGAGGCAGATGGGCTGCAGCAGCAGAAGACCACAGCTGGCGCCACTTCTGTTGACTGAGAACAGGGAACTGAGGCTACAATTCGCACAGGTTTACCAGAAGTAGACAATGGGTGGTTGGAAAAACACCGCCTGGTCTGATTAGACCTCACCTGCACATTCGGATGGTGGGGTCAGAATTTGGCGTCAACATCACAAAAGCATGTAACCATGCTGCCTTGTTCAGGCTGGTGAAGGTGGTTTAATGGTGTTGGGGATATTTTCCTGCTGTGTTTCTGACCACAGGCTGCCCATCTTCTGATGGTGCATTATACTCTTGGAAGAAGCCATCTGGTTGCCAGACTGGTTTCTTAACATGACAGTGAGTTCACTGAACTCAAACAGGACATTCTGAAGGCAAAGGGGTCCAACCCGGTTCTAACAAGGTGCAGCTCATAAAGTGGCCGGTGAGTCTATACTCTAGTTCGATATTTCAGGAGAAAATAAGTCCTTTTGAAAGCAATTACCAACATATCTACTGGTTGAAACCTTTTACCATAATCGTTTTCTTCCAATAAAAGGGTTGGGACCTAGCCTAGTAAACTAGCCCCACCCGCCAGCGGCCAAAATCATTTTTGCCTGCTAGTGGTCCGGCCTCGATCAATGCCCCAAGCCCTAGAACTGGCGGGCCAATCACAACGCAGAGATGTGTTTTGAATTTCTGGATGCAAAGCGGGCGAGGTTTTGAGGGCGTGACGACAAAGCTGTGACGCTGGAGAAAGCACAACAAAGAAGATGGCAACAACTATTGAACAGTTCTCATTTAACTCAGATTTGGAATCAGTTTTGGAAGGATTAGACTTGGGGTTTTCGTTGAAACGTGAGCAGGAAGAGGCTCTACGCTCACTCATTTTTAAGAAGGACATATTTGCCGTTTTACTGACTGTTTACACTCCCCCACCAGCTTTCTGTCGCGCTTATATCGTCACAGTCAGTTGCACTCATTGGTCAGAGCATTGGCCAATAGGCACAGACATGATTTGAAAGACAACGGGCTGTTCTCATCAACAATCTTCCGATGTCTCATTCATCGGGCCAGACTAAATTACACATTTAATCTCACATTTAGTCTGGTTTATCAGGCTAGTTAGGACACATTTTTTCTGTTTGATATTATTCAACAATAACAGATGATTTTGTTGGTATTTACATCATCTTTGATGTGGCTGTTTATACTTAGCAATAACTCTTAACAGCTACTTTAGCTTAATGGTTTGAGGGAATGTCACGTGTCAGAAGGAAAGCTGCTTTTCCCTGTTTTACCAATTCCATAAATACAGCTTCAAGGATTCAGACGAGCCCATCCCATATATCTGTCCAACTGGAGGAGCCTCGTCTCTCTTCTAAATAATTAAAGGAGCTGACTTTCTGCCACCAGCAACACGTGACATGGAATAATACAAATGGATTTTGGCACTTAGCTTATTGAGTGAAGCACTCTGCCAGCCAAGTGCCTTTTAGAGTTTGATGATTGCATCAAACTGTTCGGTAGAGGATCGCATTTCAGGTGAAATGACTCTGCTGTGGTTTGTGTGTGTCCAAAGGGGCCCAGCTCCATCACCTCACACAGGTCGGCCTGTCCAGCCGGATGAACGGTTACCCGGCAGGGATCAGGGCCGCTCCCGGCCAGAACGGAGGCCTGGGCTGGAACGATTACCATGGTGACAATTTTTCCAGGATTGAAGCAGAAAAAGACGCAGTAAGTGAATCAGAAATTGTGCTGTTTAGACCCAGGTCAATCTTAATAAATTTAATTATGCTCAAAAAGTTAATTTATTTCAGTTTTTCATTAAAAAATCAAAACTCAGTGATCTTGTAGTTGAATTACACAACATATAATCAATTGCAGGTGTTTGTGTCTATAAATTTTAGATGATTCCGGCTTGAGGCTGATGAAAATTCAAAAGGTTACCTCTCAGGAAAGTGAAATGATAATAAAAAAATAAAATAAAAAAAACTGTTGTTAAGGCCTTCTGGATCACAGCAAGAATTCCGACTTTCAAGTTTCGAGCTTGTTCAAAGGGTTTTATCCAAGCATTCTAATGGAAAGTTCAGTGGAGGGAAAACCTGCAACTTAAGAGCTTGAAATAAAGGAATTCCATTAGGTTACATCCATCTTCCTCCGCTTATCCGGGGTCGAGTCACCAGGGCAGCAGCTTAAGAAGGGAGGCCCAGACTTCCCTCTCCCTAGCCACTTCTTTCAGCTCTTCAGGAGGAACCCCAAGGCGTTCCCAGGCCAGCCGAGAAACATAGTCTCTCCAGCATGTCCTGGGTCTTCCCCGGGGCCTCCCCCCGGTGGGACGTGCCTGGAACACCTCACCAGGGAGGCGTCCAGGTGGCATCCTAAACAGATGCCCAAGCCACCTCAACTGGCTCCTCTCGACGTGGAGGAGCAGCGGCTCTACTCCAAGTCCCTCCCGGATGACCGAGCTTCTCACCCTATCTCTAAGGGAGAGCCCAGCCACCCTACGGAGGAAACCCATTTCAACCGCTTGTATCCGCGATCTCGTTCTTTCGGTCATGACCCAGAGTTCATGACCATAGATGAGGGTAGGAACGTAGATCGACCGGTAAATCGAGAGCTTCGCTTTTTGACTCAGCTCTCTCATCACCACGATGGACCGGTACAGCGCCCGCTTCACGGCAGACGCTGCACCAATCCGCCTGTCGATCTCCCGCTCTTTTCTTCCCTCATTCGTGAACAAGATCCCAAGATACTTAAACTCCTCCACTTGGGGCAGGACACCCCCCCTGACCCAGAGAAGGCACTCTACCCTTTTCCGGCTCAAGACCATGGCCTCGGATTTGGAGGCACTGATCCCCATCCCGGCCGCTTCACACTCGGCTGCAAACCGATCCAGCGAGAGCTGCAGATCACGACCTGATGAAGCCAATAGGACCACATCATCTGCAAAAATCAGAGACGCAATCCTAAGGCCACCAAAACGGATCCCCTCAACACCTTGGCTTCGCCTAAAAATTCTGTCCATGAAGGTAATGAACAGAATCGGTGACAAAGGGCAGCCCTGGCGGAGTCCAACTCTCACCGGAAACGAGCCCGACTTACTGCCGGCAATGCGGACCAGACTCTGACACCGGTCATAAAGCCGGTAATAAAGGAATTTTTAGATGATATTCTCATTTGTTAAGATACACCAGTATAGTCCTTCCAATGTTAGTTGTTTATCATTCAGGCATTAAAAAGATCCTAAACTCATTAGATTGTTTCTTTTAATTACTTAATTCCCAAAGTGAAACATGGAATACAGAGTTATTATCTGCTTAAGTTTGTAATTTCTTGGCACATTACATCTGACAGATGAGCCTCATCCTAACATATTCAGACTGAGATGGTGATGTTAGCAAATTATGTTCAAAGGAACTTCAAAGATAAAGTGGGTATTTCATGGTATTTTGTCGGAAAGTGTATTAAGTTTGTTGTTAAAGGCCTTCAGCTCCTGTAATGCTGTGATTTGATCTTCTTTAACTTCCAGATGCACAGGAGTGGAAGTGGGGAGCCTACAGCCCCTCCTGTCCACTTAGACACTTCAGCCGTGGCGTATCTGTCTGCTCCACAGCCCTTGGAAACATCTCCTCCAACCCACTCCTCTGCCTCCCTGATCAAAGCCATCAGGGAGGAGCTGCTGCGTCTTTCCCAGAAACAGGCAGCCGTGTCCAGCTACCACGGCTGAATCTGGGCCTCATGCCTTCAACCAGTCTGTTCACTGAAGGTTCCTCTCTGCTTGGCTTCACCTGACGATGCTTCCCATGGAAGCTCCTGTAGCTGACCAGCAGAGAAACTGTCCCGTTAAACTGAAGAGGAGCTTCACAGATTCACAGGAAAAATAAAATGAATGGCAACAAAATACATCCGCTAAGAGGCAGTGTTATGAAATGGACATTTGGACTTCCTGATCAGGTGGGATAAATCCAATCTGCGTCTGCAGCAGAACCACATCCAGGACTGTATTCCTTCAGACTGTTCAGCATCATGTTTATTATATAAAGTATTTTCTTCAGAAATGTTTTAGTGTATTTTCATCACTACACTGGATGTATAGTTTTTCTCACTCCATCCCCGTGGCCGTAACTGACTGTTTTCAAATAATCACTTATAAACATGGCTAAAATTATCCAAATAGGCTCAAATATAAACACTCCCACTGATACTGGTTTGACGTCCCATCGGAAGCTAAACCCTCCATTCTTGTCGTTGCCGTCTTTAAGATTCGGGAATCCCTCTCATGCTTCTTACCAAATTAGTTTCAGTTCTTTCACAGACCGGCTTTTAACCCACAAAGTTTGGACACAGTTTTTCGGTTCTTTCCATGTTTTTTTGTCTTAGCTTGTTTTATCTGTCCCAAGCCGGTTCTGATCTGCTTTTGGGGCAATGATCTCAAGAGCAGGACAAACAAGGCTTCGTTTTAGTTTGTAACACAGTACCATATTCCAAGCCCACCTCTCACTACATCCGCCCCACCTTCTCAGTAATTAAACCCAGTAAAGTCAACTGTAGTAAATCACATATTGCAGCAAAATTAACTAGTCTGCAATCAGAAAACAACCACCTTTTAAGAACAATTTAAACTGCAGCTGATAATCTCCACTTGTACCAGAATTCAACATTGCTATCAAAACATTTTTTTGCTTCCTCTCACAATGTGTTATTTATTTAATGCATTTCTGAAACGTACCCCCATGTTGCTACCACCATGTTTGACACTTGCTTGTCTTGCTTTTTACATTTTTTTCCTTGTCACCTGGACCCAACAATTGAATATTTGTCTTTTCTGATCATAAAATGTTCCTCAGAAAATGTAGTGCTCTTCCATCTGGGCAGCTGTTTATTTTTTTATTTTTGTTTTAAAGCAATATCTCAGTTCTGGCCTCTGAACTTTTCCATGGAGTCCATTTTTGCCCCTTCTTCCTTTTCTGTCATTGAATCTTAAACTCTGATTTTAATGGACGCAGCAAGGCTTAAAAAGCTTCATCGGTTGTTCTGTATCCTACTTTGACCTCTTGGACGAATTAACCTCTTGGACTCATTTTGGTGGACCAGACACTTAGGTTAAGGTTCTGCATTGTTCCTTGTGTGGGTCACGGTTCTTCCCCTCCAGGCTGACGGAGCTCAGTCACCATTTCTCATTTGTTGCTACATTGAACCCTACTGTGACATGGTGTTGTCTTTTTTTAACATTTTAGATCAAACACATCACGTCACGTTGGTTTTGTGTCATTTTTCTCCAACAACCAAATTTGTAAGCTGTATTTTCTGTTTATTCAGGTTATCTCTGAAACCCCTAAGAACCCGTGACTCTTTCTAACTGCTGTTAACACATTTGAGCCTGTGTTCATACATTTAACCCGAGGATATACATTTTAAAGTGATTCTTTCAATTCCTTTTTTTGTATCTCTGAACATTTCTGTTGTATTACCTGACAACGGTGGAGAAAAGGGGTCGAATTCCTCATTAAAAGCCCGACATTAAATGATATTCATGTCCATGATGCAGTGGTAAACCATATGTATCACCTTAGTAGCACTCCTTTTGCATTCCGCCATGATTTAACCAAGGCTGCCTTGACACTGTGATGTCGACCATTGGACCATCTACTGTTAAAACCTGGAGGAACACCACAGTTAGGAACCAGCAAGCCAGTCAGGATCACACTATGGCTTCCATTCATGATCAAACTGAACATTTCTTCCTGCAGTATAACTGTTTTAGTTTTTTCTTTTGGATCCAATAAGTTTCTTTTTTTGGTGTTGATGTTTTCATGCTGTATTTAATATCTAATGGACTAGTACTCTCATGGCCTTGAAATCAACCTCCAAACATAGTTTTTACAGCTGGTTTTGCAAATAGCTGCTAATGTATACTTGACATGTATAACTGTACGTATTGAGTATTTGGCTGTAACTGGATGCACTGTTTGCAGACTACTTACTGCTCTGGTTTTTACAAACGAGATTCTTTGCAGGAAAAGTTGAAAGGTCATGGGAAGGACTTGCAGAGAAGCGTGACAGGCAACTTTTCTGTGTTAACTGTATATTGGATGATCAGCTTTTATTCTTACAGTATTTAAAGTCTGTCCTGCCTTTTTTTTTTTACTGTCTGCTACTTTTTATCATTTTTTGCTTTTTAAATGTTCTGTTTATTTTGCCTCATGTCATCATGTTTACTTGATTTATTCTTTTTTTTAGCTTTAAAGATCTTAAAGTATTCAATTTTTTGATGTCTGAACATGTTCTTTCCAGGAACCTGAGGTGGTAACTTATTGATCTGCAATAAAAGAAGGAAACATGGACTTTTAAAGCAGGACTTGATGGCATGTTTGTAGAGGGTATAGCAGTGTTGCATTGTGGGATATAGAAGCTTCCTGCCATGATCTGTGCCCCTGTGATGTGCCTGAACTGGTTAGAGTACAGAGCAGAACATCTCACTCACCGTCTTAAATCGTGTTTTTATAAAATCGAATAACCACCAGGAAGCAGTCTAGATATGCAGGCCGTTGTTCTATGAAGTCTGTTCTTATAAAGTGTGATAAAGTGATGGAAAGGCAGTAACATCACAATCCTTACTACAAGTTCTTGTTGTCTGTTTTGCATCCCTGTGCATGCTTTATGCCATCAATCAGACGCTATGCCTCCATCTTCTACACCTGTACTGTAACTACATTTCATAGTTCTACGTTGCTTTATGTCTTTAATTTTGTTGCTTTTCTGCAATGTAAAATACGATGTGTTGGCTGGCCCAACTTTAAGTTTGATTGTTTTTGCATGTTCACTGGTTGAATTTCTCCTGGTTTTTGTTTGCATGCTGTTTCAAAAAATATTGAAAATAATACAAATAGAAAAAAAAAGAATGTGTCTGTGGATTATATGTACCAATACTGAACAGCATTACATCTGAGTTTATCTTCTGGTGCATCACTGTGAGTTAGAAAAGCATTAAATGGTGAAACTTGTTAATTATATACATTTTTATTTTACACACACAATTCTACTTTTTAAGCTTGTTATTGCCAATAATTTTGGCTTACAGCTGAAGGAAATTCCACATTCAAATGTTTAGAATTCACACACAAAGGAAAACGTTGCATTTAGAAATATTAGGACATCATGATCTACATAAACATTAGAGAACACACCCTTAATGAAGAAGGATAAACCACAAATGTTCACCAACACCTGCATCTAAGCATATTAGAAAGTTTAGTGGAAGGAACATGATGCACAGCCAAATAGAAATGAAGTCATTCTTGAGAGATTTATGACCCAAAACCCCTTTGAGTGTTGTGGTGGGATGTAGACTGCAGGTGGACTTGGAAATTAAAGAGGAATCACTCACATATATTCTTTGTACATAGAAACCAGCGATCACGCTGTATTCAAGCCTTTTCAAACCTGAGCTGAAAGCCCTAAGGAAAATAATAACTGGAGTGTTGCTTGGTGGCCAAATTACTGTTTTTGGATTAATTAATGATTTAGTTTTTTTTTTTATCAGTGTTGATGGGGCCTTAATTCATGTTACTAGGGATTAACATTATGTTTTCACTTGCAGAAAAGACTTAACGATCCATATTATCTGCTAGTCTATTAAACCACTGTTTCATCAGGTATAAAGTCAGAGCAGCTGTCAATCATCTATAGAGCAACCTTGGCTTCCTGAAAACCTTAGTAGAACCATGGGCTAATGCTGTATTCATGAAAAAGGAGCCCTGACAAACTGCTGAGTGTAGATGCTGTACAAATAGATGGACATATGTTCAATAGGCCCACATATGTATATGAAATAATTGCATTATTTGCCTGATGTAACATTCCAAACTCTGAGAAGATAAACTTGGGTTTTAATAAGTGGTAAGTTTTAGTAATCAACATTTTGAAAAAAACAGTAATCCCTCTTTGTAAATGTAATTTATTATATATGAGTTCAACATTTTAAGAGGATTTAGTGAAATAGCTTTTCCAAAGTTATCCAAAAAGAGATGGTCGGTTTTGTACTTGATACAAAGAGCCAGCAGGTGTCAGCATATTCCAAGAAAATAAACCAGTGCCATAGCTGTTCTTGCTGCACATGCTAACAGAAATTACTCAATGACTTTTATTGTAGTTTGCCTTCAGTATAACATTTAGTCAGTCAGATGTCCTCCATGTTTTATATCAGTATTCCTGCACCAATAACTTTAAAAAAAAAAGCAACATTGTTGCCTATTGTGATTCATATAATTATAAGGCAATAAACACCTCCATTTGTATTATATGTTGCTTTTTCCCCCTATTGTAATTAACTAAAAATAAATCCTTTTACCTTGATGTTTATTTGTTTTCTGTTTCGCTACACATGTTGGAAAACGGTGAGAATACAAAATGAATTTCAGAGGGAAAAAAAGATGGATCTGTCCGTATCAACATCTATCAAAAGTTGCTTGAGCTCCTTCTTTATGAATGTTTGTTGATGACCTGGATTCTTGAGCCAGATGCGAGAATGTCTTTCTTTCTTTTTTATTTATGACTTTCTTTCTTTGTATTTTATAAAAATCTAAAGAAAACAATCTGTTATCCTTTTTTATGCCATTGTATTACTACTTCAGGGAAAAAGTTACTTTTCCTCGAACGATAAATGCATGCATTATCTATTCATCAGCCATGCCTTGAGCAGTATAGGATTAAGGGTCTTTGCTCAGAGACCCAGAGTGGCAGTCTGTGGGAGTGGGGCTCAAACTCAGAACTCCAAGCTCTATGCCCTAACCACTAGGCTGCCACTCCTCTTATCTCTGCATTATATGTGTGCATGTATTTTGATAGATTTTAATATATTTTGAAATATATATATTTTTACTAATGCAATGTAAACATGGATATTTAGACATAGACTGATTACTCACAGTGTTATGTTTCAGCCAATTAGTTATGTTAACTTAGCTGGTAAAAACCGTAAGCCCCCCTCTGAAAATTATATATTTAAATTAGAGATGCACAGGTAGTTTTTTTTCCAATCCATTCATATACTGACGTCCCACCGGGAGGAGGCCCCGGGGAAGACCCAGGAAACGCTGGAGAGACTATGTTTCTCGGCTGGCCTGGGAACGCCTTGGGGTTCCTCCTGAGTGGCTAGAAGAAGTGGCTGGGGAGAGGGAAGTCTGGGCCTCCCTTCTGCTTTGTTTCATAACTTAGAGCCTTAATCATCCAAAAATCCTATTAACACAGAGACATAGCTAGAACATTTTTATAAGGGTGGCCAGGCAATAACCAGTGTACACTGAGGGATGGCCAAAAGTAGATAGGCACCATAACCTCAGTGTCAGTCTACACTGTTCCAACAGGAATATTAACAAGCACAACATCCATATTTTCTAAATAAAGATGAACTACACTTTCCTACAGCTTTTGCTAACAAATAGATGCATATATTTTAACATCTGTGCTTTCTAGATACAAGGTATAGTGGACACAATTCTTTCAGGTTTGAGTTCTGGGGTGAACGTCTCTTCCTCTGTCATTATTTGCCTACTTTTATCAACAATTATTCTGCATAAAATTGATATTTACAAGTACTAATATATATACACAAATTGATTATTAAAATTGATCAAAAGTAATTATTTATGTATGATTTCACTGAAGACTCCTAGATGACTTTCACTTTATCCTAAATAACACAAAATCTACTTCTGAAAAGAGCATGAATTGTCATCTTTTCAAATCCAGACTCAAAACTTTCCTGTTCAGACAGTCTTATCCCATCTAGTTCCTACGCATCACTTCAATATTGTTCTCTTCCTTTTCTTCCTTTGGTTTTATTTTACTTCCTGCTGTTTTGTTTTCTGTGGCATCTTATGCTTGTACTTTTTAGCTCCCTGTTTTTAATGTTTTTATCTGCCTGTACAGTGTCCTTGGGTGTTGTGATAAGGCGCTTTCAAATAAAATGTATTATTATTATTATTATTATCTTTAATGTTAGTATACTGATGTGAATAATTAATATATTGTTTTGTTGTCAAGTAACTGTTAATATATTAAAAATTTAAATGTTTCGAATATTCCACTTGAGATTATTAGTTCTGTCACAGTGGGGGTGGAGGTTTGACAGGACTCAAATGCAGACAAAAGCTTGAGGTGGTTACTTGAGTGTTTGATTAACCAAAAGTTCAATAAAAGCAAAAATCCAAAACATAAATCCACAAAAATCCAAAAAATGCTCAAAACCAAGAATACTCACAACAAGAAGGGGACAAAGTAATGACGACAAACCAGCCAAGAATGACTGAGCAGGAGGAGAATAAATGGAAGAGAGAAACAAAGACCATGTTTATTAGCAGATTGGGAGCAGGTGTGAACAGAGGAGGCAAGAAGGGAGCTGGGGTAAAGGAGGCTGACACAAAAGAGCAAACAGGAAATATCTAAGAACTCAAATACACAAGAATCAAGATAACACCAATGAAAACTCAAAATAAAACTTGGAAAAAAACCATGACAACTGCTGCCACAGTCGTTATTAGAGGGTTAAAAAAAATGGTAGGGGTGGCCACAGAGGTGGCCAATGATTAGCTAAGGGTGGCCATGTCCTCCCCTGGCCCCCCATCTAGCTCCGCCCCTGTACTAACAACCTTGCTCTTTGCCAGGAGTGTTGTGCTCTGAGAATGGTGCATGCACCCAGTTAGATCCCCACAGTCTGTAGTCTGGGTCCCCGAGCAAGACCCTTAACCCCACACTGCTCCCTGGGAGCCGCATAATGGCAGCCCACTGCTCACTGAGGGGATGGGTTAAATGCAGAGGTACATTTCTCCAGTGTGAGATAAATAAAGTTCAATTATTTATTATCAGAATGTTTAATTTTACTGGCAATGCCTGGGTTTGTGAATAAATATAACGGCAGATAATACATTGAACATCCTTACATCTAGTAGAGCATGTAAAACTGTTTACTACACTGGACAAAATCAAATCTAGATAAGTCATTTTTTATTAAAAGTGCATTTGTTCTTGGATTGAGGAAGTAAAAGAGACATTTTGCCAATGGAACAAGCCAGTTTACACTTAAAATAAGAAAACTCATTTGCATTGTCTTATTTCAAGTGCATATATTCTAATTATCTTATTTTGAGAGTATAAATACTCCATTGGCAAACTACCTCATTTACCTACTCAACTTAAGGGTAAATACACTTAATTTAAGAAATGTTTTACTTATGTCTAGACTGTTTTTCCAGTGTAGATGTGTTAGTCTTTGTTCTCCTGCATTTTTCCTCTTTTTTGGGCAGTTTTATGGATTCCTGTGTTGCCCCTCTATGTGGGGTCTACAGTATACACCCCACCCATCTTCCCAGTGCCTAATGCAGTCTGTAATGTGTCCAGCTCAGCCCATGGCGGAACATCAAGCACACCCAGGAGTTAATCCGGATGATGATGGTAATTACTGCCTGGTTGTCCAGCCTGTGAGAGGGAGGAGTCAGATCAGAGTCTCTACCCACTGACCTTGGAGAGAAGCAGTGAGGGGAGGGAGGAGGGAGGCAGAGTTTCACCACTGCAGATCTGTCTCCTCTCTGTGTGTGAAAGACAGGCAGGACAGGAGAGGAAGGATCAGTGGGACAGAAGACGGATGACAGGAGAGGATTTTTTTTAACCCTCCTTGCAGATTTTGGGAAGCCCTTGTGAGGAGACTATCATTCCACTGCCATTCACTGTGAGTACATGTGTTCTTATGTGTGGGAGTGGAAGTAATGAGAGGCAGCTCTGAGGAATTTCTGCATGCAGTGTGAGGAGTTTCTCAGTCAGACATGGTGTCCTGTCACTTTGTTTTGGTAACCAGGCTGTGCGCTCTAGGCGCATGATGCGCTCAGGCTGCTGACATCCTGGTGTTGTTTACATCACAGTTTCTGTTCCTTTAACTTAGAAAATAAAGTGATAGCCTATTGGTGGATGGATGTATTTATTGTGGGGTGTTGCTGTGGAAGGATATGCTCCTCGCCCTTCTTGTTTACCACTGTAGCTGTTATGCAGCTCTCTTCAAGCTTTGCTCCTCCTGCCTCCAGGATGTGTTAAAGGCAGCAGGATTGGCTGGTTGACTGCAACACACTGCAGCATCCAGACATCTCCTGCAGTGTGAAGATTAAGAGCCAACTGGCACAGTTTCCACTGTAAGAGGTGCATTTACATCAACTAAAACTGTTTCTACTTTTTCTTGCGAGTTAACAGTGATGTTTTCATCTTTTCTTTCTCTTAGGACAGGGAAGTTGATTAGTATGGAACCATGTATACATAACTGGATAGGATAAAGAGAAAAAAAGAACGGAGGTCAAGGATATCGCTTGAAAGACAAGGAATATATTAAAAGCAACATTTTCAAATCAAATACAAAAAAATGTAAAAAGAAAATACATGACCTAAATGTAAGGAAAATAAAAGACACAATTAACACAGCATTAGACTATGTCCTTAGCAGGGAGCCTTCGTGCTACAGATTGTGAATTATGAACTCATTTTATCTTTATTTATGTAGATCTTTCTCGAGGGCTTAAGGAGTAGCATTTTGGGGGGAAATGCTATTAAACAGTTTTCTTTACAGGCCCATAGGAAGTCTTTGTAACAAGATATCTTGACAGAATCTTGTATGACAAAAAAAAAAAAAACAGTATAGAGGTTGTGTTTTATGTTGTATTAACATAATTTATTGATATCAATGGGAAATGGACTTCATTTATCCAGTGTTTTGTCATAATGACAAAACTATAGCCTCATTTAGCTGATTGCACAAAATCCATTGGTTTTTTGACTCTACTTAAGTTCTTGCATATTTGTTACCAAAAGCAATACATGTGTTTTTTCCACACTGAAATAGAAGACATTCTGAGCTGTCTGCTCACCCATAACAAGGATACGAGTAACTGACTGTAATGACTGGTTATCGGTACACTCTATAATATAAAGTTGTATCTCATCAGCATATGTGTGGTAACACTCCATTATCTGACCTAGCTATGTCTTGTAGATATTGAATTGAAGTGGTTCGAAAATGAAGCCTTAAAGGAATAGTACACCCAAAACATGATTAGCCTTCATTTTCTACTCACCCCCATGCTGAACAACACTCTGGAGTACTTTTTTGATATCTCAAATGCATCTGGAGATCTGGGAGGCTTCTTGCTGTCTGCTGACATTCAAATAATGGAGGTCTATGGTGCCCGAGACAGAAAGGTCCATAAAAGTCCACAAAAAACGTGTCAATATTCCTCCATACTGGTCGTCCAATGTATTCGAAGTGTCCTGAGTGGGTAGCATCCAGAATTTACTCGAAACGAAGTCATTTAGAATGTTTTTAGAGCATAAACAGTAGTGTATAGGATTTCCTAAAAGCGCGTTCACGAGTCTACAGAAACCACGGCAGACCAAGCCAGACGAAAGTGCGCATTCAGCTCGGCAAAGAACTCATGCTCTTCCTCAAAACTGAAGTCCTCAGACATTTTTCTTTCGTTGTTTCTTTCTTTGCACAGGTAAACAGCACATTTCTTCTTCTACGCTTGCATTACACTGCATGAAAAGTGAGATTTTCGTCCCCGTAAACCCCCGTAAACTCCCGCAGATCTGCCTGATTTTCGTCAGTTTCCGACAATTTGCAACCCGTGCTTGTCCGCGTTTATCGTGCCACAAATTGTCGGAAACGGACTCTGACGTATGTGGAGAGCGATCAGCTGTACTAATGGCCCTAATTAGCATATGAATGCAGCAAACCCGCGCGGCTGGCCAGGTCTGGCTTGAATAACCTACTCAGTATTGAGTATTGAGTATTGCCAATAATTATTGGCAGAGCAGACGCTGAATGCGCACTTTCATCTGGTTTGGTCTGCCGCGGTTTACGTAGACTCGTGAACGCGCTTTTAGGAAATCCTACACACTACTGTTTATGCTCTAAAAACATTCTAAATGACTTTGTTTCGAGTAAATGACCTTTCTGTCTCGGTCACCATAGACCTCCATTATTTGAATGTCAGCAGACAGCAAGAAGCCTCCCAGATCTCCAGATGCATTTGAGATATCAAAAAAGTACTCCAGAGTGTTGTTCAGCATGGGGGTGAGTAGAAAATGAAGGCTAATCATGTTTTGGGTGTACTATTTCTTTAAAGGCAGAATGTGATCTTTGTTAATCGTATTTACTGTATGTTTGCCAGTTGACACAAAGTTTTTCTGCTCAAATAAGTTCTGAACTAGTTTAGCAAAGTACCAGACAGTCCTATCTACCTTCTCCACTGCAATATTTTAATAAACTGTATCAAAAATGTGAGATGAGATCAAGTAAAACCAAAACAGGAAAACTAACCAACTTATTACATGAGGGCGTTTTTGCTCAACACCCCTAATTATGATCTTTTCCCATAATGCTGTTTTTGACTCCTCCCAAGCTTCCCTCAGGTATCTATGCTATCCTTGCTCTCTAATTCAGTAATTTTCTTGCGTCTCACATTAGTTGCAGAAAACACAGCAGTTTCAAGAATGACTTAATGTTATATTTGGCATTGAAGCATGATGTAGGAGAGAGAAGGACAAGGTGAAGTGTAATGATGCTGCACAGAACAGCATTTTGCTAAGTTCCAAAACCGTCTAAAGCATGATGACACTGCAGACATCAGGTTAAGTAGCTCCAGGTTTACACTCGTGCATCTCTTGTTTCCAGTTGGCCTCAAGGTCAAAGAAGCAGCTCATCTGTTTCTCTGTCTCCCCCTTCTACCAGGCTCCACTGTAATCAGAAGACAGAGTGATATTGTGTCCGGCACTGTGCTGAGTAGGAGGCAACACTCATGTGATGCATAAAGGGGGAGGTGAATAGCTGTCATTCATAACAAAGTGACCATTTGCTCAGCAGCTGCCCTCTCCACTGACTTCAGACACTGATCCTGCATGTCAGCTGCTCCTGGTCATCTCCTGCAAGCCAGTCAATTGCTCAGAGGAGAGGATAAATTAAACATATATATTCTAAGAATGGATAGAACATTGGAGAGAAGGCAGCATTGTAAAGACTTATAGAGAATTTGTCGAAAGGAGGTCACAAGGTCAACTGTGTTTACATTTGTGCAGAAGCTGTTCAGGATATCCAGCAAAATTTTAGATGAAAGCCAAAATGTCCCTTTTTGACCTACATGCATGGATGTTAAAGATGTTTTCAGTTAAATCTGGCCAAACTAACCAATTTATATTGGTGAGTCGATATAAATGTACCCTCATTGTTAAAATCTGGTAGAAAAAAATAATAATCTACTAAGCCGCTATGTTGCGGAGCTTTTACAAGTGTGGTTGTGATGTGAAAAAAGTCAGAGGCTCAGATTTTTCATGGAGAAGAAAAGCTTAAATGAAGTCAAAAAAAAGGAAAAAAAAGGTGGTGAATAAACAGAATGTAAAATCCACGTCCCAAAAATGTTATCGGCTGTCGAAGTTCCAGAAGCAGATTTTTATTGCTCTTGCACACAGTATTGTTTTTGGGATTCCTTTAGACTGTATGTGGACAGCCTATAACCACACGTTGCTCCATAAATAATCCCAGAAGATGCACTTGTATGCAGTGGTATCCATTAGACAACCACAGGATCCAAAACAATTTGGATAATAACTTCCCAGAACCAGAAGCACGACCAGTAACATTTGTTTCAGCTATATTAAAAAATCAGCACAAAGACTCCCATCTGTATCTGACTGATATAGAATCAGCTTTTGCTGCTGTTTGCTTCCTGTTCTGATGAGGGAGATACAGTTTAGCCGAGCTCATCAGCAGACATCAGTGTAATGAAAAATGTTGCTGCGCTCAGCATCCACTGAAGGACAAGTGGGTTAAAGAAGACAACAAGGGAGGGAAAGTATTAAAGCTTTAGGAAGGAATCGGTTGACTTTGCATTGATTGTTACAGATTCCATGTGCTTGTTTTAGAGTCCCATTTGTATCTCTTTTTCTTCAAATTTGGTCCTACGTTTTGTAAAGAAGTCTGTGGAGAAAGAAGAAGGGTAAGGGGCACAGCTCTTTAGACCTTAGAGATCTGCAGGGGCAAACATGTAAACAGAGGAAGCAATCTAAAAATACATATATTATCAGTGTAGTTTGAAGTATCTGGAATTACTGAGTAGGGTTTATTAGTAGAATATCTGGGATTGACAAACATGATGTCCATTTCTTCACTCTAAGTCCCAAAGGATGAGCAGAAGGATAAATCGGGAAAATTCAACCTTTTCTTTTCTGGATTTGTCATGACTCTGATATTACTTTGATTCTACAGTTGGTTCAAACACATTTGTCCTTAATGATTGAGAAATTGTCTAAACACAACACAGGTTGAAATGGAGCAGCCACTCAGAGGTACACTGTATAGACCAGGGGTGGGCAATTCCAGTTCCTGAGGGCCGGTATCCTGCAACTTTTAGATGTGCCTTTGGTTCAACACACCTGAATCAAGTAATTAGATGATTAAGAGGACATAGCAGGAACTGACTGCATACTGAAGAGGTAAGTCAATCATTTGATTCAGGCGTGTTGGACCAAGGGTGAATCTAAAAGTTGCAGGATACCTGCCCTCAGGAACAGGAATTGCCCACCCTTGGTATAGACAGTTTTAGTTTTGCCTTAAACCCAACCAGCTTGCTATGAGAACAAAAAGTGTGTTCATGTTGGATTATGGATGCATGCACATGGTCTCCAACCTACCTT